AATTCCTTTCTATACGTATTCCACCAATTCAGTTGGACACAGAGGCAGACTTATTAGGTCCACTTCTAACTTAACATTTGTGAGGAGTGATTTTGTAATGCATCTTCCAGGGAAAATCTTCAAGATCAAACTGCTATCTGGGAGACATTTTATTTTACTCTGCTTGGAATGACCTTGGGTTGATTTTTTAGGTATTGTTTTTCATCACTCTGAGAGTAAAGGGACTATATTTCACTCTCATTTAGCCACTCTTGAGTTATCAGGTCTCTCATACCATCCAAAATAAAAATCATAACCCTTTGCAGTCCACTTTGTGTGTTTTATGAATGCTGCCTGAGAAGCAACATCTCATTTACAAGTGGGACCAGGAGCTTTAGTAATCTCTCTCTCAGCCAAGTGTATCTAATAACACATGAATAACATCAATTGTAAACCCAAGACAAACAGATGAGTTAATTAGTCTTAAAACTGTTGAGGGTGTGACTGCAATGCTGTGAAGCTCTGTGAATACTGCCCTGAGACTGGCAGTACTGGCACAAAGGCCATTTCCCATCAGGACTGTGTAGGCACAGAGGTTTCTGTGATGGTGTCACCAGGTGATGCCCTGTGCTCAGCAGCCTTGTCTCCAGTTTAGCTGAGCACCTTCATCTAGGCATTAGCACTGCATGTTCTTCATGGCTTTGAGGTGAAGGAGAGCAGATTTAGATTGGGTATTAGGAAGAAGTTCTTTACTGTGAGGGTGATGAGATGCTGGACAGATGTTGTTCAGAGTAATGGTTGATGACTCCTCCTGGAAGTGTTCTATGAAATTATTTGACCTCGGTGGGGATGGCTTATATGTTCACATCATTAAGGGTTTTTTCCCTGGAGTGGTCCAGCATTCTTTAGGATTGTATCCCCAGAGATGAATCCTCTATGTTCAGTGGGAGTTCAGCCTACTGGGGGTGCTGAGAAAGGAGAGGTTCTTCCTGGCCATGCTTGGCTTCTCAGTGCATGTCTGCTGTCTGCTTAAATGAAGAGTCTCTGTATTTTTTTCATTTCTTATTCTGCCCGAAGGAGGTTTCTTCCTCCAGGGTCAGCATAGAGTGCTGAGGAGTGTCTTGATTTCTGCACTTATGGAGGATTATAGAGTTAAAAAATAGTGTCTCATGTTTCACCACTTTCTGCAGAAGTCTCCTATAGCAAGTCAGATGCTGTGAGTGTAAAAATTTATTAATCATGGGCATTTTTACTTTTTATTTTTTTCCTTTATAATACTAGGGAAATAGAAAGGAAAATAAAAGCTACAATTAAAATTAAGATCAGTTGCTGCAGTTGAAAGAGACAGCACAATTGTAATATGTTAGAGAATTGCCTTGTTTTAGAGAAAGTGCTGATTAAGATCAAATTTGTCTTGAGTTTAAATTTTGATTGGACCTAAACTGAGGGGAGGGGGGTTATATTTCAGACACAGTGCAAATGATGCATGTTAATATCCTCTGTTTATTGCCACTTGAAATTGCAGCATAGCTTTGAATTGCTGCCAAATCTACAGTTAAGACTCCCGAGTAATCACTATGATTATTCCAAATCTTCATGGTAGCAGTGAAAGAAAAAGTCTGATATGCAGAGAACTGTAGCCTAAGCCATCAGAATCTTTTCATTCTTTGGGGCTCAGATTGTGATTCCACTCATAGCAGGAATGGTTAGACATGCATATTGGCCAATCAGTCTTGAAAGAGAGATTAAACAAATGGATTTAATTATGTTATTTTCAGATTTATTTAACTTTTCTGTTAACTCCTGCCTCGCTGACTTTTCCTGAAATGAGGAAAAGCATGGCTTTTCTTTAGTTTTGGAATGGTTTAATTCCTATATTGGCATGGTGTGGTATTTTTCTTTATTTTTGGATTTTTTTTCCTTTTCCCTTTGTTCATGTATAACAGATACTATTTCTACTCTTTTTTTCTTTACAATCCATAGGGGTGCTTATCTCCTTGAAATATTTTTTTTTACTTCTGTGTAGCTACTGGCAGTTGTAGACTTACATAAGTCTTGAATGTATACATATGTTTTTGTGGTTTATTTAGTTGGATGGAGATTAAGTACTGATGTCTGAGATAAACAACATAATATCAAGTTACAATTAAAAAATATTAGAAGAATCTCACAGGAGTGAGAAATGATATGTAAAATGTTTATAAGGAGCTCAAATTTATCTGTGCTTAAAATCTGTTCTGCTTTTTAAATACACAGTTATTCAAGGAAGTTGTTTATTTTGAGTTAAAGCCATCACTGCTAGTTGGCTCTCCAGACAGTATGTCCTAGTTGCATCCCTTCATCTGTTGCTTGCAGGAGGCTTTTGCTACTTTTTCCACTTACAAAGTAAATAAAACTTGTTGTGGAAAGCGTCTAATGTGGATACAATATTTACTCTGGACCATTTTCCTAAATAACTAGTGTTAGCCAGCAGGCAAGTTTGAGCACCCGGTGTGTTAGCTGTGGGAGGAAATCTGTATGTCTGACACATAATGATCAGTTTAAACTATTGAAATATAAATCACAACACTGAGTGAAATTCAAAAATATTTATTTAAATGAATTATGGTGTGTGCATGTGACTGAAAGAATAGTTAGCAACCCTGCCATATATGCTTGCAAGTCTACAATCTTTAGGCTATTTTTTAAAATAGTTTTAACTCCAAAAGATACATAGTATTTTTGAAAGACAGCATTAGTAAATATCACAATGTGTTTGCATTACATTTTAACAAGCATTTTTCTTATGATTTCAGTGCTGTTGAGTCCACATTATGAAACTCAGCCATGCCTCTATTTAAGCCTCATTAACAGTGAAAACCACTCCCTATTTTATGAATCTCATTCCTTTATTATTTTGAAGCCATAATTTTGATATTTTTGGAAGTGTAAGATTTATAGGGTCAGGGAAAGAAAAAAAAAAAAAGCAGCAAGACAGCATTTCTGTAGTCAGAGATTCCTGTTGTGTACAAGTGCAGTTCATACCTTTTCTGGGGACCAGGTCCTTCTCTCTGTGTTCTGGTCACAAACCAACAGGAAAGACAATTCCTGTTGCTCAGCAGGAAAATAGTTTGAATTTATTTATTTCCAAGAGAAAATAGATATTTTAAGCCAAAGTCACAGACAGGAGTCTGGCAAGAAAGTGCAAATGTCTGTGTTTGGCATAAACACATTTCTTCACTCCCCCCTGAGATGCAGGCACAGGGACAGGGCAGCACATGGCACCACATTCAGTTTCAGGTTCATGCCATGCTTGCTGCAGAAAACCTAATAAATGAGTGTGTCACAAGAATCTCTGAATGCTGTATCTAGGCCACCAGCAGCTACTGGTGGAGTGTAGATAGTAATGAATTAAACAGACACTGTTTGAAGGGACAAAAAGCCCAAGAGACAGAAAGCCATTGGGTACAGTAGAAATAAGAGAAGGCATTTGTGAAGGTGTCATTTATAGAGGCTTTCCAATAAAAATGTCATTTATATAATTAAAAAATACAAGATTATAACAGTGTAATAGGCTATTATTTTCCTCTTCTTACTGACCTAGTCATGCAGCTAATGGAATAGATTTGCCTTGATGTATGCTTTAGTGTGGGATTTCAGCACTGGACCATGAACCCTGAAGTATCTGCAGTTGTCTCTCATGTTCAACAATGTACTTCAATAAGTGCCCCATTTGAGGTATATGAAAGCCCTTGAAATTAGTGCCACTGTGTATGTGCTTCAAGGAAAAGTGCACATGCTTAAGTTACTTGTCAAATTGGAGCATCTGTAAATGTTGAATTTATAGTTTTCCCCCCAAGACCAATTGCAGTAAAAGCTCAGCCCAGCTGTCATATCTGTATAATTCATTAGAAGTTTCCAAATTTTAACTTCAGCTCTGCTCTAAAAAAGTGACTACATAAAAATGGTGCTGTTTTTTTAATCTCTTTTCATTCTCTGTATTCACATTATTGTGATTCTGTTTGCATAACTCATTGCCATGTATCTCTATAAGCAATTTACAGTCACTGTATCACAGTGATCAGTATTCTGTGGTGTTTTCTGCACCATTTGCTGAATATTCTAAATCCATTTTGAATTAAGGAATTTTTTTAATTGTTTTTTGAAGTATGAGCTAGAGAGAGCCCAGCTGGACTTTGAAAATCTAGTTTGTTTGCAGGCTATCAGTTGTTAAAGGCTGATTTTTGAATGCCAACTGGACCCTTTTGATCTGGAAAAACAACCAAAATGGACTCACATTGTCAGTTTTAGAACCATGATGTTATAGCAAAAGGTGAAGGAGTTGAAATGAGTGAAATTCTAACTAAATTATGTGGGGAGAATTTGTTGCTTAAAGCTTAATATAAAGATCTCACTAGGAAACAGCTCAAGATATTATCTTGAGTCAAGGCATTGTTTGGACCTGAGAAAGAAATTCAGATAATATATTGGCATATTCTTCTGCATCAAAGTGAATTGCCTTTTTATTCAAAATATGTCAGGAAGAGGAAAATGGTAAAACAATTGAGAGATATTATAAAGAAGTTCTTTCTCCTCTGTCATTCTTCTGCTATGGCAATGATTGTTTTTACATTTACTAGCCTCACTGGATAAAGAGATGTATTTATATGGATGTGTTAAAATAAGTCATTACTAGTAGCATTTTTTTTTTCACATTAGTCTAGAGATTTTATCATGTGGCCTCATGAGCCTTGTACAAGCACCAAAACCCAAGGCAGTCATTCTGAGCAGAGATGAGGAGGATAATCAGTTTGGTGTGGATTCCAAGAGAAGTTATAGAATGTAACATTCACAGGTTTGGTCGGGGAAGATTAATAAAATCTTTCAATCCTTATCTCTTAGGATTTGAGTTTCTTGTCTGCAGAATTTTGATATGTAGGTAAGGTGTGTACAAAATCTGACATTAACACAAAAAAAATAAGGATGTGTTGTCTGTTGTAGAGAAATCGGGCTTCTGAAGGTTTCTTGTTTTTGTCTTTTAGATAATTCTTGTAAGCTCTTCCCATAATGACCGTGACCAAAGCCTTTTCATAAGCACAGATGAAGGAGCCACTTTCCAGAAACAACCCATTGCTTTCTTTGTGGAAACGCTGCTTTTTCATCCAAAAGAAGAAGATAAAGTACTTGCTTATACCAAGGAAGGCAAGGTAAGGCTTGAAGATACAGCATTTCTTTGAAATTTAGGAATTGCTCTATTAAATAAAGTAATTCTGACATGCTGATTAGTGTTGGGTTTTATGAAATAACAATTACCAATTACCCATAAGGGAATAATATCATGGTTTTGAGACTTATTTAAATATTTATTTTATTGACGTCCAAATCTTTGTGGTTATGGTAGTTTCAATCCTGGCATTTTCAGTGGATATGGATATTGGGAATATTTATCCTTCTGCATAATGCAGTTAAATAATAACAAAACATGCTCCTCCCTAGAATGTGACCATAAACAATTTATAGTACAGTAGGAAGTTAATGAAGTTGAAATATTGCCTCCAAAGGCTGTTCACAGGATATAAAATAAACTCATACAAAACAAACTGCACACTCATACAGCAGAATAGGATTTGTGGAATCAGTGACTCCATAGACATGTACAATAATTATCTCCCTTATAGTGGCTTTTTACCACTTTCAGATTCAGGAGCAGTTCATGTTTGTTAATTTTTACCCTCTTTCAGATTTCTTGTGGTTAAACTGTGAAGTCAGTTTTCTGGGTGTGCTGGGCTAAGCACTGATGATTGTGCACACCATCTCTAAGTGTGTAGCTCATCTCTTTTTCACAGTGTCAAAACTGCAGCTGCAAACTCCCTGTCATTCTTGTCCTGGTAGCAGCCTTGACTCACCTCTACCATTACTCCTGTTTTAAACTTAAATTGGTAAATTCCAGTCCATTTTACCCTCATCATACCTCACAGAAAATGTCTATTTAGGTGGTGAGATTAGTCAGAGAAGTTGCACATACTGCAGCCAAACACTGATCACTGATTCCAGTGATGTTCTATCAAGTCACCCTTTTGGACATGCTTTTGAATATATAAGTTAACAGCTGATCCCAAGTCAATTCATGTTTACAGGTGTTTGCAAATAAGGGTACAACTAGAATAAAAAACATAGCAAATCAAAACTAAGTCACAAATTCCACTAAATATTTTACTTAGTTTTGGTTTGAAATCCTAGCACAATTACAAACAATTTGAATGCATTTTATGTAAATAAAATACATCAGGGAAGCCTGAAGTAATGAAAAGGCTTTGTTATGAAAATATAAATGAAAAGCCTTTGTTATGAAAATATTTGTTTCCGGTTTGACTTTTGTTCCTGTCAGTAGATATAATTACTGAATTTTTTATAGTTACAGAGTGGCAGAATCATGAAGTGTAAGAGCCCAAAGTGTATGAACATGTTGTCCAGCCCACAAGTGGGTAGAAGTATTTGTCAGAAGAGAGCAGGAGGTAGAAGTACAAAGTGAAGGAATTGGCTTGTGTTTTGATGAATTAAGCATGTTAGGAAGATTTTCAGGCATTTTATAATTGGATTATCTCCCAAAAGGAGTGGTGCTACTATTTGCCACACTTAAAATGTGACTGGACAAAGAAAAAAAAGAACTATAAAAAAGTATTCAGTAAGGAATAATTCTGCAGGAATGGCTGTAAGGGTGAGGTAATCTGATGGACTTTGCTCAGGCTTTCAATGACACTAAAAAGAGTCAGCCATAAAGAGTTCCTTGGCAAGTCCTACATCTTTACCTTTAGTGTGTAGGAATGAACGATGCATTTGACTATAACTGGGTCAGTAACCTGCTTATGTTTTGTATGAAATCTGATATATTTGGTCTAGAAGGGAAAGGAAGATAAAGTGATGCTTGCAGAGAAGGAGTTGAAAATCAAAATTGCATCTTGACACAAGAAAAGGTCACTGTACTCAAATCAATGGTCTTGAGAGAGTGTTGATCTGAAATTGCCCTGAGGAGTCAGTACACTCTAGGTTTTTGAGTTAAGTAACTTTACCTTCCCTAAAAAATGTAGTATCAGAATGAAATACAATCTAAAACTCTAAAATGGAGAAACCATTAGCTTCTGTTACTCAAATAATTTCTTACAAAGACACTTTGTAAGAGACTGCAAGGACACTGCAAAGGAATGCAAGGAATCAGATCCTTCATAAACAGCAGTCAGCAAGGCTTCTTTGTCTACTGGAGCATCTTGGCCTTTTCCACAACTTTTGATTCGATTTAGGGCTTATTTCATATTGCAAAATATGTGTTGTTCTTTCATTCAGAACCCTAGATTCTGTTTAAATAAATCTCTAGCCTCTAGCTGACACCATAAATGAATGCAAATCCAGTCAATGTAGTTGGATTAATCCATTTACTGCCTCAAATCTATACACTCTTTTTCTGGCAACCCCTCAGTTATAATGAATAACAATCATCTATTTGCTGAGCCTACATAAATGCTTCTAGATGTTTTTCAAAAATTGTCAAGGATGCAATAGATTTTAATTTTTCATTTGGAAGCAGAAAGGATGAAATAATGGCAAAACATAAAAATATTTTCAATATTTTTTAAAAAGCTTTTCCACACATTTATTGCACAAGTGAGCATAGGCAAAATTATAAGACCTATTAGATCTGTTTGCTTCAGCCAGAGATTTTAGCTGTCTACTAAAATAACTGTTTTCACATTCTATCTAATCTCATTTAATAGTTTTATCATATGTGCCTGTTGAAAAACAAAATACCTATGGATCACTTGGGTTTTTTTCTTACAGAAAGTTCAATGTGTATGTAAGTTGATTACATGTCATTTTGTGTCTATTTCATATACTGTGTCAGTTAAAATTTCATTTGAGTTTTAATATGCCTTATTAATCCTACTTCACTTTCTCTAACAGTTGCAGGGATTGCAGGGGCTTCTTCCCTCTGCAGAAAGCCAAACTGTTCTCTCATAAGCTCCCAGACTTTGATTTTAAATGTGCATGTGAGCAGGTAGTTTGGATTTGGGGGAGAGGGTTGGATTTGGTTTAGCCTTTGGCTTCTCTTGTACAGGTGTCTCAGTTCAAAGGGTGAGAATCTTTCATTTTCTTCTGAATTCATTGATGACAAAAATAAATTCCCTTGTTGACGTGCCAGTGTTGTCTCTTATCCTAAACAGTTCTCTTCCCTCTTGCCGGGAACTTCTGAATTCTTGGCTTTCTTTGCAGCTTAGACAACAGGGTTAGGATAGTGCATAAAATTATCATCTCTCCCAGGTTTAAGCAGTCTACTGAGGGAGGTTACTCAGTGACCAGGGACTGTTTAGAAAAACAGTTAACCCAGTGGTTATCCTCTCTGCAATGCCTGTGGTGACAGGTGTTTGAAGAAGTAAGCAGCTTAGGTTCTTCACCCTGCTCCGTCCAGTCCATTCACAGCCACATCCATCCCCCCAAGGAGGTTGCTCAGAGCAGGGTGTTATAAAACACCCTGGATGCAGCAAATCCTAAGCCACATAAAATTAATAGAAGAAATTTAGCAGGCAAATCAGGAGCCTGGCTCTGCAGCCCCATCATTTAGCTCTGAAGATGAAGAATTTTTGATCCCAAATAATTTCTCTCTGTGCATTGACTGGGTCAATAGGCAGTCTGAGTCCTCATTGTAGTTTCCAGCCCTGTGGTCTATCTACTTTAATCAAATGTGCAATGGAAGGGAGACCAGTTATTGTGAAGTGCAGAGTAGCTGAGAAATTCTCTTCTATCTCTAATTCAAACTTCAGTAAATTTACCCATAGTGTTGATTGTACATTTGTTCTACCTCAGCCTTTATCTTTACATATTAATATTGCTGTTTACCTGTAATAGAACATAATACATAACTGTGGGGGCTTTTTATCTTTTGTCATTGAACCTGTAATTTTAAAACATAAACATTCCTGACTACTTCTTATAAGATACTTTCCCCCAGAACACTCAGTTACTGAACTGGTGAATTCTACATCAGAGAAGAACAGTTTTACTTGCCTTTTTATCCCCCTTATTAGAGATATCAAGAGAAAACCCATCTTATGTAAATTGGATCAAATAAGAAATGCATGCAGACAGCAGGGGGCTTTAAATCTGTCTTTTAGAAGTCTGATAGAAACTTCCTATTTTAACCAGAGGAAACACATTTTGAAGGCAAATGATGAAGGAAGAAGATTTGTTAAGAGCTGTTCTAGATCCCACATTATTCTGGGGGAGACCATTTTCCATCTGCACTTTTGATATCCATCCATATAATTAGCATTTGTTGTTTTGCCAGAGGGGAGCTGTTCATAGAGAAGGTGGGGCTGGAATCCTTCTCCTCCAGGCCATCTTGTGTCTCTGTGCTGAAGGACCACTTCTCGTGGGTTACAAATTAGTGTCTGTAGAGCAAGCACATAAGTCCATCTCTCATCAAATCTCTTAAGCATGTCTGTAATATATTTTGGTCCTATTTTAGCAGAGTTTTAAATCCATTGACTTCCTGGCTTAAGTAGTTTTGATGGCATTAAGGTTTGAAGCATAAGGAAACATTTGTGCTTCTTTGGTCAATTAATTCGAAGAAGTACCCTTTATTGGCTTCCTGGCTTAAGTAGTTTTGATGGCATTAAGGTTTGAAGCGTAAGGAAATTTGTGCTTCTTTGGTCAATTAATGGGAAGAAGAAGTACCCTACTACCATCCCTCTTGTGTAACCATGCTGAGGTAAAAAACAATCTGACCCCAAATGAATTGTGTTTTTACAGTAAACAAAAAGTAATTGTTGCAGAATTTTGTTTATTATAGATAATATTTTAAAATAATTTCTCTATAAAAGGCTGGAAAACAAGGTACTGAGCTCCTGGTAATGTGTTTTTGGGAGTTTTTTTAGGTTTTTTTTTGTTTGTTTGTTTTTTTTCCTTTAGTTTTTGTACAATCTGTCTTTCTAATCGTGATATAGGGCCTGTCTTTGAAGATGTACAGTATTATCAGCTTCCTATAATCTAATTTTTCATCTTTTCTCCTTTTCTAGATTTATGTATCTATTGACTTGGGGAAAAAATGGAACCTTCTGCAGGAAGGAGTTTCTAAAGATCATTTTTTTTGGTAAGAAGTCTGTTATTTTTGAAATAATAAAATGAGCAGTGAAAATATTTCATTCTAATCCAAGAAGATATTTATGGAAGTATGGATGGAGACTGTGTGAGCCTTGGCATCCTTTGCAGGTGATGGCAATGTTTCTGTATCCTCTGTTGCAAAGTCATACTCATGCCAGGGATCTTACTGAGTATCAGCACATGGGAAGGTTATAGGTCTGGATCTATGGAGCCCAAGATTTAAAGAAAGCTGCAATGCTGAATGAAATTGTTCTCCATTTTACTGGTGAAATTCGTCTTTAGGAAAGAGAGGAGTCTTTTTGCAGAGAAAGATCTATAATTTTTTTTAAAGAGGCTGGATGATACCTACTAACTGGAGTCACATATACACTTGCACTACTATGGAAACTAGGGAAAAATATTACTTTATTGACGACATATATATCTAATTATTTCATTTTCAGCTCAAGAATTGTGCAGGTATCTCACATTGTGTATGTGTCTCACAAAGTATTTAATTGATTTAAACAGGTTGACAAAATGTTTGAAAAGTAAGGTATTGTCCTTATTTTAACAAATAAAATTGTTTTGAAAATGGTATAGCTTCTTTAAAACCAAAATTAAACTTTTGATAGTGTTTTAATTAATTTTATTTTTTAAATTGGTCAGTTTCACACTCACTTCCACCTTTCACATTTAATTTCAGTGTGTAAGTAGGTATTTTTTTATTACAGGTCTAAGTCATACTGCACTAGGCACTTGTGTTCCCTAAATGGCTTTTAACTTCTAAGTGGACTCTGATCCTTGTCAGTTGTGCAAAGTATAATTTTCCATATGTCTATGGAAACATATCTGCTTTCAGTGGTAATTTTTTTGGTTTGCTGGGGGTGGTGCCAGTGTTGCAATAGATGCCTGATTTTGGTTTGTCTGTGACCCTCCCAGTTTTTCACGTAGTTATTTCACTCTTGTGTTGAAATAAATACTCATCCTGGCCAAACTTGGGGTAAAATAAAGCAACAGAACAAAACCTGCACAAACTGATTACAAAGCACACAGAGGTGTTATGGTGCCTACAGACACATTGGCCACTGCCAAAGCATAATTTGGTGAGTCCAAGGGCATGATGCACATGTGCTGCTGCTGCTGCTGCTGAAGCCAGGCAGGGGGAATGTTGAGTCTGGAGCAGAGACACAGGGGCAGTTCAAACCCTGTCTCAAAGAGCTGGGAGCACAAGACCTAACCTGACCTGCTGCCCTGTTGGTCTCATTAGCCCTGGACACAACACACAAGCTTTTTCACACTTCCAAGTGCCTCATTTTCTATCTGCAACCTACTTAGTGCCATAATTTTAGAAAAGTAGCCTATGGTTGGGTTGTAAAACATTCATCTGATTTATTCCAGTTTGCCTCAACTTTATCTGCTGAAACAGTTGAGTTGAGCAAACACTTTCTGGTAACTTGCTCCTGCAAAGAATAGCTTTGAACAGCTATTGAACAGTTTATTTCTGCACAGCAGATGGAGTTTCATAGGCCATACACTTTGCAGGTCTTTTAAGTACCCCGTGGAAAGGTATGATTGTTTTTAAGTAGCACTGTGTGTCAGAAATGTCATATCTGCCTTACAACCAATTCTTCCCCAGCGAGATTATATGGGATGTAAATCATGAGGGCATGTGGTTATGTCTTTAATGAAAGTATTTTAAAATGCATGAAGTCTGGAAACCATCTAAGTCACTAACAGGTAAGAAATAAGAGTGGGAGCCTCTCTCACAGACTTTTTTTTATAGGAGTTTTTGCTTATCTGACACTTAGCACACTTAAGTTATGAAAAATACAGAGAGCCACTGAAATGTCTCAGTTTTGCTACAACCCAAATTATTTGTCACTGTTTTCTGTATGTAAGGAATAAAGCCTATGAGGGCATGTTTAATATTAAGTCTGTATTTTGCTGTGTTTCAGAATCCTTATGTTTCCTTATATCATTTGATAGGAATAACTCCAATGTAGTACTTCAAAGTCATGATTGTTCACAAATGTCACATTCCTCACAAATAAGAATTTTAAATTTGAAGAGTCTGTACATTTATAACCGGTAGAAATATTTTCTAGGGGGTTGTTTTCCTCTTTTCTATATATAGACCAGAGTGATTTCTCTCAAAAACTACATCAGCCAGCAACAGCAAGGGTTTGGAAGCAGATGTTTAGTGCATCACTACCAAATTACCCTTCACATAAACTTACATAGAATAAAGATCTATATTTTACTTCTAGCTCATATGGAAATCTGCAATATATAAAGAGTGAGCTGTGAGTGGAGAGTTGGACATGATGGCTTTCCAGTGGGAGTTTGTCTGTCATGTGAAAATTTCCAGTATTTTATGGCCTTTGTCACCCAAATTATCTGAGTGATAGATAGAAACAAGTGTTTGTGTCATTTTCAACAGATGTAAAAATTGGACTTTGTAAGAGTTTGACTGCAAGGACAAGTCTAGTGTTGTTCTCCTGTCAGTGTACATCTGATGTGTTAAAAATATTGTGCCAACCTAATTGTACATCTCATGATAAATGAGGGCATGTCTCTTGCTGATCATGGCTGGTTGTGCCAAGAACATTTCACTGGGCAGATCTTTAGCAGATGTTTCCTCTTTGATTTCAATTTGATCTTTGCCACTGAGGTTAATAATATAGCCTAAGATTTTTATTTCAGTCTGGTAACTACAAATATTATCTGTCATAATATTTTCCTGTGCTTTGTAGAAACCATTTTTTCTGTGCCTCCAGAAGTAGCCAGATCTTCATGCATTTCCCAAATAAGATTTCTTTTTGTTTTAAAAAAGAAATTAGAATCTAAATACAATCAATTTGATAGAATGTGTTATGTATTTATATTAAGGGAAGATCAGTAGAGACTGAAAATTCTAAATATTTTCAGATGTGTATTATAGATTTATAATCAATATATTAATATCATCTTCAAGGGTTTATTTGCTTTCCAAGAGTTCTTGATCCTTCCTTAAATATCCCTTTAGATTTTATGTGTGGAATTTGATCTTTCATTATATTGGAACTAATGAAAATATTATTGGCATCAGTGAGAAGTGTATACAACCATCTCTAATTTAGGAGCACAGAATATTTTATTTCTTCTGTGATACTGTGTGATCTTTTCTTACATCATTCTAGGTGATTTTCCTATTTGTTTCATTTAATCTTTTGGAAGAGAAATCTGGCTAAGCCTCCATAAGAACTTGTGTTCTCCTAGCATTTTAGGAGGCAAAAGAGGTTTCCCAGAGAGTTGGCTGATGCCCCAGGCCTTCAGTGTTTAATAGGCATTTAGGCAATGCCATCAACCACTTGCTTTAAATTTTGGTCAGTAATAAATAGGTCAGGCAGTGGGACTGTAGGGTTGTTGTTGGTACCTTCCAGCTGAAATAGTTAATTCTACCCTAATCTAAAACCAAAAGAGCTATAAAGCAAAAGCATGAAAGGCAGATTTGAAACTAACAAAAAATACTAAGTCACACTGTAATTTAAAAAAAAAATCAATATATAGAAGATAAATATTAAATTTGTGTATAAATATTAATTATCCTTTAAAAAAAATTTAACAACTTCTTTTTCTGTAAAATTAAGAAACTTTGCTTGCTGTGACCAGTTTTATTTCTGCCTATGTACTGCAAATGCCCCAGTGTGATGATGTCTGTTTAGGAGATGTTATAGCACCCATCCTTTTTAAGTGCTTTTTTCAGTTCTTGGTGCATTTGTAGCCTGGAATGCAAAGATATGAGCTATCCCAGCAAAACATCAAACACCCACCCATTAGATGGGATGTAACTGCTTTTGTATATGAAGCCCGTTTTTAAAAGTGCTGTATTATGTGGTAATCCTTGAGAAGAAGAAAGAGTAGCGGAGCTTGGGATTCTTCTAGGTCTGCTGCTATTCTTCTCAGTCCCCAAGGCTTATGCAGCATTGAAAAATCCTTTTGATTTCTCAAAATAGGTCTTAGTAATACATTAGCAAAGAATAGATTGTGAATCAGCTGTCTACACCAGCACAAATATACCCTGGGACAGTAAGAAATGAATTGGTAATTACCAGAGAATTAGGCTCAACACATTTCTTTTATAACTATCTAGAGCCTTAGGAATTCTTTATCCTTGACTCACTCGGATATTTGGATCCTATGCTATGGGGCTCTGTTGCTTTTATTTTTAGCTACAGGTCTTCCATTTTCTTGAGAGGTAAGAACATAAAAATAACAAATGAGGAGTTTATTTTGATGAAGCAGTTGTTCTCAGGGGACAAAGTTCTGTTCTCATAATGAAATTCCATACAGATACTCAGTCACAGCTGTACCCATTTATGTCAAATGTAGTGGGTGCTTGGCTATTCGAGTGTCAGGTGAAAGAGAGGATTTCAGCCATGTTATGTCCTGAAGGAGAGAAATGCAAAGGGAATTTCACTGAGCCTTTGTTAATGAATTTTTTATTCTTTCACTTAATCACTTGAAAAAGGTTTTGTTTCTGTGTGATAATGTGTGTGACTGGTTCGTGTGGCAAGGTTTGGTAGCAGGAGTGCTCAGGGCTTCTGTGGGATGAGATCAGGAGCTGCCCTGGCGTCAGACAGAGCCAGCTCCAGCTGGAAAATCCTCTACTGGCCAAACTGAGCCTGTGGGTGACGCTGGTGGTGCCTCTGTGATAAGAGATTAAAGAAAGGATAAAAAGCACAACAACTGTGAGGGAAGGGGGTGAGAACATGTGAGAGGAACAGCCCAAGGCCAGTGCAGAAGGACGGGGAAGAGGCGCCAGGGCAGAGACACCCCTGCAGCCTGTGGTGAAGGCCATGGTGAGGCATTATCCTACCCTGTTATTCATTAGCAATAAATTAAATTACTCTTCCCCAAGTCAAGTCTGTTTCACCTGTGACAGTAATTTGTGAGTGAGTTCCCTGTCTTTATCTCCAATCTTGAGCTTTTCATTATAGTTTCTCTCTCTGTCCTGCTAAGATGGGGCAGTGAGAGAGCAGCTTGTGAGCACCTTGTGCCAGCCAAGGTGAACCCAAGGCAGGGACAAACCACTGCACCTCTTCTGTTTGGACAAACGTGGCAGGAAAAACATTGTTAAAGAGCATTTAGGCATAGGAAATTAACAATAGCAGAACGTGCTGGCTGTGTAAGGCATTGACCGAATCATTAAAGGCGTGTCTTTTGAAGTGGATGTGAAGGCTGCAAGGCCTGAAACACAAATCAGTCATAAGCAGATGTATTTTCAGGTTGTATGAATGAAATCATAGTTTGTCTTCCTGAGTAACCAGCTTGCCAAGAGTCAGTGCCATTTTAAACTACTTAGTGCAAACATTTATATACTTGTGATCTGCTTTCTAAGCATGGCAGTGCCCTTAAGCCAATTGTTAGAAATCAGTCAGTATCAGTGGGGAACGTGTTACTTTTTGGATAAACTTTATATTCCGAGGTTATGAGAGGGGCAGATTAAGGAACCCAGCAAGTTGTTATATGGCCTTTGGTTGGAGGTTCCTGCAAATCAGCAAGAATGTTTGTCTGGATTTGTTTTTGTTTTCAGATGTCCTGTTTGAAGTTGTCTCTTCATTAATATTCACCCAAATGAACTGCATCAAATGTTTAACAGTGAAGGGATCCGCTGGAGGTAGGGAAGACATATATCCAGAGCAGACTGTACTTGATCAGTGTTTGCAGACCATTGCTCCTCTACAAAATGAAACAAAAGGTTTTCTGCTTCAAGTAAAATTGAATCATAATTATCATAGAAGGGACTGATGCTTATGATTCACATTTTGATATGTGTACTGTTACATGCCAGTGGTGATTAACTGAATCATGGTATTCATGGTGATAATAATGAATATTGCATAATTGTGAAATTTCAGGTGACTATTGGTGTTTTCCTAATGCTGCACTGAACTAGGGGAAGAAAATTTTGGGGCATTTAGGGAAAAAGAGAGGTAGCTATATAAAATATTTTATTAAAATAATACCAAAAGGCTCTCATAACACTTTTAACAGAAAATTCTAAATTCTTAGAATTTCAGTATGGTTATTTAAAACTACAAAATATCTAATGGTTGCACCATGAAATCTACATTTAGACAACTACTAAGACAAATGCAAAGAGCTTTGCAATCACTTCCTTTGCACCATTTTCATGCTGATATAATGTGTTCAGGTCAGTGAAATTACCTGGTGAAGCACTAATGCAAAAATTATGAAGAACTCGGTCATACAATAGCTAATCTTTCAGGAGAACTTATGTAAAGTGTAAAAACACATATGCATGAAATCTAATCCCTCAAAAAAATTCTAAAATTACATTTTGCAGAACTATTTTTCCCAAGAGGCTCAACATGGTGTCAGACAAGCACAAGGGAGATAATGGGAGTTTATGTTCACAGGAAAGGGAAGAGGCATATTGAGGCTGCTTTTATTTACACCACCCTGCAGTCAAGTTGGAATATTTTAATTCTGAAGTGTTGTAACCACCCTGTTATGTGATCTGAAGTGCTGGGGTGTTGCACTTTTTTTATCCAGCATGGTACACTTGGTCAAGAAATGTTTCTTTTCCTAGGAGAAGACATGTCTCATTAGAAAGTTAGTCTGAATTTCACTGGAAAACTCAACAGTTGAATGTAAAACATTAAAACGTTGACCAGAAATCCCTGAGTTTACCTAAATAAAGCTACTTAACCAACAAGTGGTCCCAGACTGCTGAGGGGAGAACATTTTAATTACAAAGTAGTCTGAGAAGAGTGGGGGAGTTTTAACCAAACCAAAAGTAACCTCTACTGAAATTGAGAAAAACAGTTCATGAGAAAACGCTCGTTCTATTTGGGGGGGAAAAATTACTAGAATTTATTATGAAATGTCAACCAAAAAGGAAGAAGCTGTCAGATTATCAGAGTCCATTGCATCTGTGCTCTATGAGACAGAAGAGTTCCTATCCTAAAGCCAGCTGGGGAACAGTAAACTGTCCTTGTGAATGGATGTGTGGACACAGAGCTCACACTGGTACAATGCACTTATGTTATCGTAGTGGTAAGTTTGTAAATGAAATTGCAAAAAAACCCTGACTTTGTCTTACATTTCTCCCTCAATATGAAAAAGTATGCAACTGAGCTTTCCTTTTCAGAGGACCACATAAGGTTTGTGTTCCTGTATGCACCTTGTTTACCTGCTATTTTCAGAAGCTCTGCCGAGGGCCCTCTCTGTGCTTAGCCTACAGAGTATCACACGACTTTTCCGCTGGTTCATGATTTAAGCACAAGTGAAATAACAGTATTATCTTTTAAGTACTGTTGGCAGAAGAGTCCACTGAAATGAGATTAGTTTATTCTTCAGGGATATAGCTTCAAATTCTCTATATTAGTTATACTCTCTTCTGGAGATTTTCTTAGCAGCTGTAAGAGATTTGGTCTTTTTTCAATAAAAGAAGAAAGGACTATTCTAAGTGTTCATAAAGCTGGGTAAAGGGACTTTGGAGTTCAGAAACTCTGGCCTGTATCTGACATTCAAAAGTAGACTTTGAGGGTGCAGCATCTTCATTGAGTAAATAGTGTCTGCTGCTCGAGTTCATCAGTACAATTAGAGTAATGATAAACACAAATAATATTTTTGAAATATTGTACAATTTATAATTAAAATATTATAATTATTAAAAGTCTAATGGAGAAAAGTAGTCTGGGTAGGAAAGTTTCATTCTGCAGTGTTCATTAAAACAGATCAGTTACATTTTCTTTCACTGAAAAATTACACTGGAAACAAGATTCCAGTCTACATGTGTCAGCTGCCACTGTTAGGAGGAGCATGATAGAAGTGAGATCATTGGAATTCTGAGATGTTGAAATAAAGATGAGAAGGTAAAGATATTGACAAATAACTCAAACTGTGCTTATGAAATCATGTGTGATAAATTATAGACACAAGAAATACTTTCAGAAGTACCCAAAAACATTCTTTGCATTATTGATGTTTATTAGCATGTCAGGCTCAGGCTCAGAAAATTCAACACAAAAGTTTCTTTGGTTCAGCTGCCTGAGGTCCAACACTAAAAGTAAAATATTCAGCAAACATTTTCTTTCTCAAATTGCTGACTACAGTTATAACAGGTTTGATTTTGTATTGTGGCTATCTGGAAACACAGATTACAGCATACACAGCACAAAAGTTCACAGATCCCTTCCCTCTGCTCATATATATTTTCATCAGACCTCAGTGGATCTAAAATCTTATCTAACCTAACGTATTGCCTCCAAAATGCTAAAATAATTTGTGTTTGAGAGATCAAATTCTTAATAAATACAAGATTTTTCCATGCATTTGCTAAAAAAAAAAATCCCACTATAAGTTTCTCTGACATCTTATGGCTTGGAGGGGGCTCATCTCTCCCCCTCCCTTTCCTCCTTTGGACTGATCGTTTATCTTATTAGGGGAAAACAGCATATGTGATTATTTCTGGTTGTTATGCAGCAGTGGAAATCATCCAGTTTCTTCCCCCTGGCCTGTGCTCCTGAGGAGTCACCAATTACTGAGTCGGAGCTTTAACCACTCCTCATAAATCACTGCTACTAAAATCATTAAACAATGATGTAATTCCAGTCCAAAGTATAGCTTTATTGCATTTGATTGTTAATAATTGTATCAAAATGATAATTTTCTCTTAAGCATCTTAATGGACCTTTTTAATATCTGCATCCAGCTGCACTTTATCACTCAATGTATCTCCTTTGCACGTCTTCAGCTCACATTTTCTGACTCGATGATTCTTGCCCTGCCATCAAAGGCCCTTGAGGAAAGTGATGCGTCTGTGGGAGTGGGGCTGGATTCTGCTTCACGTTGTGACAGCCCAACTGCCAGCTCAAAGCTGTCTCTGCAGAATCTGCCTGACTAATGACAATAGAAGGGCCAGAAAAAAGCACAGTTGGGGCTGCCATTCCCAAGCTGGGGTGGAAGCCCTGAGGGCAGAAAACTCATCTTTTGGCTGAGCCTATTTGACATGAGAGATATTGGGAGGAAATCATCCTGTATTCCCATTACACCTTTACAAAGTTAAACTGTACCTTGATCACCTCTGACTGAATGACCTTCTCAGGATATTTTTCTCAAAATTATTCTTCACTTTCTTTGTCAAAGCAGAATGTACTCTTCTCTTGAATATGCTAACCAAAGACATATCAATTTGTTATGGAAACCATGTGCCAAGTTTAAGATATTTCTAATAAGAAAGGAATCTAACTCTTTTTTTAGCATTAAATCTGCTTTGTAGTCTCAAATGTTAAACATAATTGTAAAAAGATGCTAGAGAGCTTGCCAGTGCATGTGAGTGTCTGCATATTCTGTGTGTGTGTATATATCAATTTATGATTATGAAGGTCTTTTCCTAATTTCATGCATCTTTCTATTCTTTTTTTTTTCAATTGATTCTATTTGTATGCATTTTTTTAGTAGAAGAGATTCTAAAGAAATTTAAGAAAACCATAATGTAAAGTAGAAAAAAAATAATTTCTTTATAGATGTTAGTAATAGGACATTATAAATGGGGTTTATTTTATTACCAGCTAGAATTCTAAAGCTGGTTAGTATGAAATCCTCTCTTTTCTTCCATCTACATGATTATTATTCTGTAGCTGGCTCTACATAACTTGATTATATTATGTTCTCAGGGCTGTTGCTGGAGTTGACGGGGACCTTGATTTAGTTCATATGGAAATCCAGGACCCCAGTGGAGGTATGCAAATGAAAATGTTATCAATTGATACACTAGTATATAGTTATTTCTCTTTGGTTTAGAGGTACTTTTTGGACTGTTTTTAAAAGTAGTCAGAAGAGAAAATGTGCAAGTCAGATTCTTTCTCTGTTTATTTGTGGTCAGCGAAACTGTCCTGTTATATAAAAATATAGTGTAATTTAAAATCTACTTGTTTTTCACTTTAAGAGGAATTGATGTCAAGATGCTAAGCTCTATTGATAATGTCCATTAATAGTGCAATTTATCCTGGCATTTGAACATTGAACAGTTTTTCCTGATTTGCAAATAAAACTGGCAATGGAGTGTTAGTGCTGGGTAAGTGTCTGTTAATGTGAATCATTGCACGTGTCAGGTCTAGAGTAACAGCCACCATCTCTCAGAATTTCCTCATGTTATAGTATCCAGTGCACTTTGAAACTTCAAAAGGAAAATAAATGGAAAAGCAGATTAGTAGTCAGAATGTGCTTAAAGAGTCACCATGATTCGAAAAGCTTGTATAGTTTCTTGTTACATATCATACTCATGAAAGATAATTTAATTCCTTGAATCAGATAATCTAAGTTCCTGTGCAGCCTAAAAGTGAGTGCATTTAAGAATGCACAGTTTAACTTGCTCCGTTCCCATAGCTTTTCTTAATGATAGCCTTATTAAAAAAATCAAAGTTACCATGTTAAAATCTGAATTAAAAAAGTCTAAATCTTTTAGCAGTGAGATTTATGAGACATGGTGACAGCTCCGTCAGGTGTTTTCTTTAGAGACAATGTAAGATGAATGGAAAGGGGTTTTTGATTGGTGGTGGATTTTGGGTGTTTGTTTGTTTTTTTCTCATTTGGTTAGTTTTGGTTTAGGGTAGCTTTTTTGGAGGGGAGTGTGGTTGGTTGGTTGGTTGGTTTATTGGTTGGTTTCTGGGGTTTTTTTGGCTGGTTGCTTGCTTCCTTTTTTGTTTATTTGTTTCAGTTTTGGTGGGGTTTTGTTTTGGTGTTTTTGATTTGTCTTTTTTTTGTTGTTGTTGTGGGGTTTTTAATTTTATTTTTATTATTTAACAGAAATAGCAGAGAAGGAAAAACTCTCATTAACTAGCTCCTGGCTTGATTCTCAACAAACTGACTTTATGCAATTAGGGTCAATACAAGCATAGCCAGTGATTTTAGTGGAAACAGCATCTTTGCGCTACCTGTATGACAAAGAAATGTAATTTTTGTGTTGTGAACTGTGAACACCTGCAAGACTTTAGATGGTCCATTGCTGCACCAAATATCCTCATGGTGATGATTTGGACATAAGCAGGAGAACTTGGATTGACTCTAACTGCCTCTTAAACAGATCCAGATTTTAAAACAAATAATTGCATCCAGTATACTGGTTTATCCTTCTCTAATGAAAAGTCATTAAATGTGGGATGCATTTGCCCTCACACTGCAAAAGTAGTGAAGTTCATGGGGATACATTATTTGCTCTCTCACACTGTACCTGGAGCATGGGTAGCATTGGTAATCTGGGCACAAGATTGTGTAAATAACATTTTCCTCACTATGCTTGGGCAAGTCACTCAACTACTTTGTGCTCAGAAGCTTGTGACAAAGGATGAGCTGTACAAGAGCTTAGGGAAGGTCTTTAAGAGTCCCAGGGAAGGTCTTTAAGTCACAGCTGGTATAAGACAGTGATTGTTGGCTCTGCTGTCTCTGATAAGAGCAGATTGTATCAAAGATGCAGTGGTGCTGTTCTAAGAATCCAGGGAGAGAAGACAGTCCCTGCTAACTGGAGAGGAAGAGAAAGGCCATAGCCTTCTCTGATTATAAATCAGTCTAAGCTTTTTCAGCAAGGTATTAACTCTGAATATAGAAATCCTGCCCCAACAGACCCATTCCAATAGTGTGCTAATAGTGTGTCTGAACATTCTTACAGAGCTTTGAAAATAGGCTTTAAAATTCTGCACGCTGTCTATTAAATGGAGCCTGATTCTTTTCTCATTCATCACAATTTTATACTGGGGTTGATCTATTGATTTCAGTTATGTTGTGTCAGGCTGCCATATCTCCAAGTGAATAATTCGCCTCTGTGCATAGGTTAAGTGAGAAAAGAGGCTCCTTCTATTATCCCCACCCATGAATGGCTCATTCATCTAACCCCTAATCTCTCTGGACCAGCAAAATTTGGATAATAACAGGCTGCCTCCAGGGAACGATCTGAACTGTAAGCAGTTAATACATTCTCAGTACGCTGGAGATTGAAAAAGTCTTGTATGAGAGTTTAATATAATAATTCTACAACTAACTCACCTAGCAAAGGCAGCCTTTTTCCTACATGAATAGCATTTAATACTGCTTGCTTCTTTTTCCCTTGATAGCCCTGTCATATGTTTCTGTCTCTCTTCCCTCAGGTTATCGCTACATCACTTGCCAGATTCAAAATTGTTCTGATAAGACAATGACAGTCCCATTTGCTGGCAGCACTGATCGGGATTCCCTGACTGTGCAGGATGACTACATATTTCTTCAGGTATATATGTACTTCATATTTCTCTGCCATTTTTGGGAGAGACAGCTCATTTTGGAATTCAAAAATAAAGTTCTAAACAGTGCAGCAACACTGTAAGGAGCAGGGAGGAATGAATGAATGATGATTTATTAATTTTTACATGGAAAAAAGCATTTCTTTATCAGTCCAAACAAAAAATAAATTTAAAAAGAAAGCATCTTTAGTTTGTGCAACAAGTTGCCTTTTAACTGTACGAAAATTTTCAAGTAGATTGTGTTACTTCTTATAAATACTCTTGTGTGTTAGGTGAAATGCAAACCTTGTGTTCCTGTGATTACAAACTCTTCTAGGTCCTTTCCAGGGCAAAACACAAAAATGTTCCCTGGGAAGAACATCCAAGGACAACCACTGACAGAGTAGTTGCACAGCTTCTTCATAAGGATTCTCTTCTGAAGAGGTTTTGCCAGGAAAGAACTGCTAACATGGCTGTGCTTAGGAAGCAAAATTGCCATAGCTGGGGAGCTTGGAGCAAATTAACATGGAATCATAGGATGATTTAGTTTGGAAAAGACCCTTAAAATCGAGTCCAGCCACAAACCTAACACTGCCAAGTCCATCACCAAGCCATGTCCCCAAGCGCCACGTCTACAACTCATGGTGGTCCGAATTACATTGTGGTTGTTTCATTCCCAAATTACAAGACCTGCCTGCAGAAATATGGGCTGGAACTTTGTCAGCCATGTGGCACCAGTACAGCTCAGGCACACTTGTAAGTATTGTTTTAAGTGCTTGGCACTGGTTGTGGTTTGAATCTCTCTGAGCTGCAAACTTCTCAAGGAGCAGTTATGTCCTTTTTGTTTTATTAGATTTTACTAGGGAAGTTGCTTGTGCTTTCCTTAGTGCTCAGCTATCATTTTTCTCTTACTTTGATGAGATTTGTTTGTTGCAAGTCTTATTTATTTACTGAGTTTTGCAGGAAAGCTCTTTTGTGGCAATGGATACACCTCCCCACCAGTGCCTCAGTGTGCATCAGATTGGCTCCTTTCCAACTTTCCCTCCTTGAGCCTGTTTCTTCCACAAGAACCTGTAAATTAGTAGGATCTGTTCTCATGTTTGGTGTAGTGGTTTCAAGGACCTGCATGGTTTAGAAGAATTAACATTAAAGAAAATAAAACAAACAAAAACCCCAAGCAAAAAAAAAGAAAACAAACCCACAAGAAGCCACACACCAACGAAAAGAAAAAAAAAGCCAAACACAACAACAACAAAACCCCAAAACTAAAACCCAAACAATGGCATTGGGGAAGAACTTTTGGATTAAAGTAGGCATTTGTCAGATAAGATCTAGCACTCATGACACGCATTTTGCTCAGAGCTGTTATCATCTGTGGGCTCCCCCAGGCACAGTCTAAAAATCCATTTCATAGTGTGTAGATGCTGAGAACTGCTTCTCACCATGCAAACTTCCAGATTGCTGTGCTCAGCAAAACAGTGGCTGCTTCCTCATCGAGCATTTTGCTTTGCTGGATGCCGTGTACAACTGCATCCCGAGCTGTTACTCCCTTTCATGACAGACATGAGCAGACGCAAAATGGAAGTGCAAGGTGGAAATGTACACATAGGTAATGGACAGTTGCTCCTCAGTGATGCCTTTCTAGATCTGAGACATGTCAGTGGCAGTAGATGAGATACTCTTGTGTTCCACATAAAGGGGAATCATCTCTAGTGTTTTTCCTTTGGACTTTTCTGCAGTAAACCACAGTATGTAATGTATATTTTATTGCTAAATTGGTTTGCAGTTAGCCACATCTGTATTACTGGAGGATAGAAGGTGACTCTGGGATCGTGTAGTCACATCTGAAGCACAGCACCCCAGAGGTGTGAGGCAGGACAGCATTTACCTGTTCCAGTGAAAGCACACATCAGCTCCACATCTGAGAGACAGCATACATTTGAAACCCTGTGGAAATTCTTTTACCACTACACTAAAGTACAGTTATATCAGTTATAATCAGACCAGGGATGACTCATGATATCACAGCAATGCCTGTCAGAAAGAGGATGGGACAGAATCCTCTGTGCAAAAAGATAGGAAAGTTTGAGACTGTCTCCCTGCCCCTGGCATTGTTCATATTCCCTGAGCTGTGCAGATGTGAATCACAGTGTTGCAGTCTGCACCGGCCCAAATCTATTTTGGAGATTGTTACCATCTTAGAGGAAGATCTCAGCCACATTTCTTTAGTATGCCTATATCCACAATAATCAGAAACTTTCTAATGCTCTTTTTTTTTTTTTTTTTTTTTCCCAATTTGCACTGACAGTCAGACAGTTTCAGAGGTGATTTTAGTAGGATTAAAGTTTCAATGCTGTTCTTAAGCAGACCAGCCTTTAATACCAGTGAGGCTTGACATGACCATGTGCTTCAAGTCCAATTTTCCTCTGACTTGCATCATCTCCAGTCATTTAAATGAATGATGTTAAAACATGCATTTAAAAAAAGCCTGTGAACAAATGGGTAAGACTGCCATTTAGCACTAGTTAAGCAAATGATGAGGTTTTTAGTTTGATCCATCATGATTTAACAAATCACATTCCAAAAGGACATTATATTATTATATTCTTTATACCACAAAAAAATGCATACAATATTAAATACTTTGTTACCTTTAAAATATTCAGACATATAGACCTGCTGTCATATATCAACTTTATTTTTACAAAGCCAAATCAAGTTTTCATGTTTCAGGATAGACTGTCTTTCAAATCATGTTCCTTTTTAAACACAAAAATTTAGGAGAAAAATAGTGAGATTAGGGTAGGAGTTTAAATGGATTTCCCAAGTCAAAGAAAGAAGATGAATATTAATGTGAAAAAAAAGTGAAATGTTGCCAAAGGCTGACTTTTATTTACTGATATCATCTGGTGGTGCTCAAAGGTTTAGTTGGAATTATGCCAATTTATATACCAGCACGTTGGTGTTACATTTCTGATTAGAAAGTCCAGGAGAGGTGGCGAGGTGACAATTTTCACTGATGTTTATTTGGAATATTCCTTTTGGTACTTTGAAACATTGCATTAAAAGTAATGACTACATATTTCAGTTACAGCTTAAATGCAAAACAGTCTTCCAGCTCAGGTTCTTTAGATTTAACATAAGCTGTCACAGAGTTCTGTTTCTCCTTTCTATAGACAACATCAGCAAACAGGACCAAGTATTACGTGTCGTACCGTCGAAATGGCTTTGTTCAGATGAAGTTGCCAAAATATGCATTGCCAAAAGTAAGTGTGCATGCTTTTCTTTCTCTTGTTGCATTTGTCATCTTCTCTTTCTACTTAAACTAGTTTTGTTCTGCTCTTTTTCAAACCTCATTATTCTGAGTTCACGATATCTCCTTGGAGGATTTTTGAATCCTTATTTTTATTTAGAATACTACTTTTATTTTTATTCCATTAATGTACTACTCATAAACCGTAAACTCATAAACATACAACAGCTTATTTGTCATCAGTTACTGCAAGAGTTTTTGAGCTTTGCTTCCATGAGGCAATGCTATACACTCAATGGCAATAGAGAGATACAGAGCAAGTGTTCTTTCAAGAATCAATTACGTTTTAATTCCATATGGTGTTGTCTGGTATAAGCACGAATAATAATAGAAGAGAATTGTGGTACTTGGTGTTTCTCTATTTCATTAAAGAATCCCAGTATGGACTTTTACTGCTCCATGAAATTGCAAGACTTGATGAGAGGTTCTTCAGTCCCATATCTTCCTAGTGATAGGGTTTCTGTATTTCCATAGTAAATCAGCAATTAAACACAGAAATTTAAACATGGTCTAACTGATGCCGTTGAATATTTTGTGCTGCACACAGTGTATTTCCTGACTTTACAGTTAGAAGGCTTCTGCAGTCCTGAAGAAAAATAAGTGGGAAGTTTGAAAGATCCAGCTGGATAAAACCCTGAGTAACAAGCTCTGACCTTACAGTTCACCCTGCTCCCAGCAGGAAGCTGATCTGGAGGTCTCATGAGGTTCCTGCTTTTTCATGTGATTCTCTGTGATTCTACCACGCTCTTAGCAGAGAACTTGTTTTCTTTGCATGCCTTGAATTGTATTAGTTTAATTAATTGCTCATCTAAGGAAGGACATTAGAGTACAATTTATTTCCTTTTACTGTTATTGTTATAAAGCAAACATTCTAATATCAGATTATTTTAATCTTAGATTTTTTTATGCCAATATAAATGGTAGTCTGAAGTAATTTTAAATGTACAACATATTACCAGAATCTCAGATCAAATCCTCGGGTATTAGTTGAACAAGGATCTGAAACTTGAATATGCTCCTAGTAGCACTACAGAAATATCTATATCTCTCTATATCTCTATCTTATCAAGAAATATATAGTCAAAGACAGGTATATAGACCAACAGTAACACAAAGTTATTTCTGTGTTTTTCAGGCCTTCAAGGCTGCCTTTTTGCTTTCTTGGGGGAAATTGTAGTCAGGAAAATATCAGCAGAGTATCCAGGTTTTGAAGGTTAAAATATGCCAAACATGGTCACCTCAAGGGACTGCAGCCCATTGAACCCTGCACTGGGACACAAATAAGCAATTAAGGAGCAAGGCAGGGAAGCAGAGTGTAAACAAGGAGCTTCTGACACATTCATAAAGTGTCAGTCGCAATTCCCTGGCATTTCTGTCATATGGAGTCTGGATTGTTTGAAATAGTGCTGCATGCTCAATTCTTTTCCTTGGAAAATATGGCTTTTGTTTATTTTATATTTTTTTTTCTTGCTAAGTGGATTACCCCAGGCCTGACTGAATAAATAAATTAGAAGTTAATGGTTTCATTTTGGATAGAGTCTATAGCTACCTAGGAACAGGTTGACTATGTCATTTTGAAAAAGATGTTTTTGTGCTCTTCCTAATTCAGGCAATACCCAACAAGAGGAATAAAGTAAATATTTTCTCTTCAGCATTTTGACAATGCTTCCAGGAGATGTTTCTTTGGTATCTGCACAAAACAGAGTTGAAAATTTCAGGAAGCCAGACATACATTTAGATTAGTGGTGAATATGAAAGATTTTAACCTTTTCTGAGAAACACCTTTTTTTTTAAGTGATTTGGTACCTTCACATTACAACAGAAATTTTACATACTAAAGTAAATAAGAGCACAGCTGTGAAATTTTTCACAGTGCTATACTTCAGTGAGAATCATCCAAGTGCAGTAGAATTGGATCATGGAACTTTGCAAAGACACAGGATATCAGCAAAGACACTGGCACATTAAATGTAGATTTAGAACATGTGACTTTGAAGCTACTTATTTTATGGTGGTAGGAGATAAACAGAATGGATGAATTTACAAAGGATGTTTTTTAAGATTGATTAAAACCAATAGCTTTTGAAGGATCTGAGTTTCAGAGAGTTTTAAATATTAGATTTTGCCTAACCAGGAGATGAAGCATGACTATAACAGGCTATATTTCATTTTTCTCAACAGCATGAAATGAGGCGTCAAAAAAATCTCTTTCCAAGTGGTCTCTGTACAGAATTTTTGAGCAATGATTGCATACAGGGAAGGAAAACTGTAGCCAAGTCAGAAGATGCTGTAGAGTCAAGCCTGTGTCTAACAACATCAGGAGAGCTGTGCCAAAATGCAACCTGTAGCCTTAGGGAACTGGCCTGGGTTCTTCAGATGTTATTATTTTGCTGCATACTTTCCTTTCGTGATGATTTTGCATATACAGATAGAATTAGCAGTTTCAGACTGAATAGTTAGAAAATGTTTTTGATGTCTCATTTTCCTTTCAATATGAAAAGGTTGGAAATCTGCAAAGAATTAATTCTCTTTTTTTAATATTTTTTGCATTTGTGTTTGTGTTTGTCCGAATGCATCGCCAAAGAGAAACCTAGAAAATAATAGTGTGTCTTTGGACATATCTACAGTCCTCCTCACTTGTGAGTGAAAGGCTGCTAAAAGCAGCTTCCAGCCAAGCTTTACTTCTGTTAAGTTTCTGGGCTCCAGCTCCAGAGTGCCACTGAGATCACCTTTTTGTAACACATCATAGCTCTGTGTGTGTACAGACAGCAGAGCCATTGGGGGCCATCAGGATTCAGATAATTTTGTTAACCTTTCTTCTGTGCTGTTGAGAGATCTTTTTATTTTTTTAACACTGTGTTTGATACTGACATTGCATGGAATCCCACAGCTGTCTCCTGCATTTGACAAGTGCTGGCTGCTGCCAGGAAAGGTGGTAGCAAAGGCTGATGAGACCATATCAAAGGTTGCTTGTATGCTCCCCAGAACAGAAGAGGAATTTTCAAACTACTGTTTTCAAGCTGTTGTTTTAAAATTGAACTGTTTTTTATACTGTATTCCATTTTAACAAAATTGCTTGTTCTGTGCTGCTAAAACTAGATCAGAAGTTAGGAGCCCATAGGAAGTGAATACCAAAATCAAGCCAAGAGCAGCAGGACAGCATTTGTGTGTCAGCTTGACTGGTTAGGCATGCAGGAGTGTCCCAGGGGATCCAGCAATTCTCCTTGGGTTGTGCTCAGCCTGGAGCAGAGGTTCAGCTGCCACTGCTGGGAGGGCAAGTCTACCCAGGGGCACAGGCTAAAGCCCCATCCAGACTGTCAGTGCACTTGTATTGCACAAGTTCCTGCAGCTCTAATTGCCCTTGCCTTGAGAAGTGCAATTTGAAGAGGGAGAGAGGGAGCAGTGCATTGGGTCTGGTCCTTGTTCAGGTACTTGAGTCATGCTCTGATGTGGGTAACAATAAAACTGGGAACTAGCTCATTCTGAGAGTTTAAGCAAAAAACATTGTTAACAAAATTTTTGACCAAGGCAAGGAAACTGCTATAAATTGTGGCAATTTTGCTATTGCAATTTGGAATAATTTAATTATTCTGAGTCCTCTTCCCATCTCTCTTAAATAAATGCCATTGATAATGATCTCCCTTTAAGAAATGATAGAAGGCATTGATTGATTCTGCATTCATTCATGCCTCCTACAAAATCTTAATGATACAAGAGATCCATTGTTTGTTGTATCCTGCTGCAATTCAAAAAGTTTAGTTCTGAAAATAGATGGTGTGGAAAAAGCTTCTTTCATAATTTTCAATTTCTGTATCTATTTTCAATCTTGTGAAATAGGTAATAATGTAAAATTTTTCAGGTAACCAAGATAAATGGAAGTATAGGGTAAGAGTGAACAAAAACAAAAGAAGAAAAAATCCAATTGCTTTAGAAATGGGTTGAAGTCTGTACTTTATTCATGACAATATGAATCTCCTATAGGTGCCTTTTATCAGATCCATGTATTCTTTTTGTTTGACCATCACCTAGTTGCCTCAAAACATGCCCACCTCTTCCTTGCCTCAGTCTGAATGCACATCACTGTTTTAACCATAGACTTACTTCTGAAATTGTCTGTATCATTCAATAGTAGATCTAAGACAATCCTTAAATGGGTCCATCCATTAACAGCAGAAATGGTAGAAGATTCCTGCAACCCTTTTGTGTGATGTTCTCTAAGGATTTGGCTGCCTCATGGTTGGATTGCAAACTCCTGAGTCTATGACAGCTCATTTAGCAAGGCTCTTAGTCTCCCAATAATTTTTGTTCCACTTGGGAAGCCCCTTCACCACCTCTGCCACTCACCACCCTGGCAGACTTTGGCTGAGGTTTTTCCCCTGTACCAGGCAGAAGAGCAGTTTTTAGTGGCAGCTCCATTCTTCTGAAGGTCCACTGGAACGGCTGTTGAGCAAAGAACAAGGGAGAAGAAAGTAGAAATGCAGGTGTCAGTGGCATTTGCTGCAGGGAAAGTATTCCAGGCAGTGTCACCACAGCAGCCAGGGAACCTGAGCTATAGAAGCTGTCTGACTTGCTGGGTGTACAAATCCATCTGAAGAGGATTCAAGGAACTGTTCTTTTCTTCACTGTGCAACTTATTGATTTCTCTCCATGAACTTTTTTGCTCGGCCATGCAAGGAAGATTAGGAGGATTATCTTTGGGATGTGTGCCATCCAGTTACCTTGATTGTGCTTGAGAGATTACAGGAGTATAAATGTGGTACATCTAGAGGTCAAGACTGAGACTACAGAGCCTTGAGTCCTTACATCTGTTCCACTACTGATATATTTACTCCTCACCATTTTCTGTTTAATACATTTCTTATTTCATGTTAACATTTTGCTCAACCACAGCATCAAAAGATTGCAAAGGGGCAGAATTCTGACATCTGACCAAAAATTGTAAGACTTAAAATCCAATAATTTTGAATGATATTTTCTATGTCATCAGCACACTGTAGAGAAAGGAGCACTGGCGGGTTGTACAATCTTTGTCATCTTCTATAGCCTTCTGTCTTCAGGCTGTAATTGTACTTATTTGTGTCATAGAGTTTCTTATCACAGTCAGTAATATGGTAAACCATACCGAGCATTTCTTGAATAGAAAATTCTGTAAAGTATTTGCAGACTTATAGGCTGGTCAGTTACTGAATGTAGATGGTATGTGTCTGTATACAATGAAAACAACTCATTTATCTTCCCTTCCTCATTTAAACCTCTCTCCTTCTTTCCTGCTATCCACAACTCCCCCATATCCCAACTTGTTTAATAGCTTTAGGCTTTTTGGACCAACTTTTGATTGGGTGTTCATTCAGCTTTATGTGATAACAGACTTGACTACATTAAAAGCAGATAATTAATTATGGAAAGACTGATCATGTTGGTATCTCTGTGTTAGAAGTAAAGAAATAATTTTCAAGCAGTGTTTTCTGGAAGAAATATTTGATTGTGTCTGTATACTTGTTGGAAGAGTTCTTGGATGCCTGTGCTCCAGGTCATGGCTGAACATGCACAGTTCTTTCAAGGCCTTGTGTACACCCTCAGACTCATTTATTTAACAGACTGTGTCTGTTCCATGTGATATGGAGTTTCTTTGAAGTGGTGCTCATCTTTTGGCATAAGTTGGCCTTCTGTAAATGCCTAATTATTTTGGGTATCACTTTGAAACTCTCTTTGTGTTATTTGTTTGTTAATTATGTTCTCTGCTATTGATGTAGCACAAACATAGCAGCTTACAAGTCCCTGAGAGAGCAGGAGTGACATGACCTGCCACTGGATGCCTAACTTAATCATGCCAAATTTTAATATGAAGTCTTTGATCAGGATTCATTTAGCATTTTTTGTAGAAAAATAATTCTGATTCAACAGATATCCAGCTATCCTTAATTCTAATTCCATGGGCTGGTTCACTGCTTTGGACCTGTGAGTAGTTTCACAGATTTTTAGTGATAAATATACAGAATTCTGTGCTTAGCGTGGTCTAACATGTCCCAGTGAAGAGGGAAAAATGAAGGAAAAATTGTGACAAAGGAATTTGCAAAATAAAGTGTACAAGAAGCACCTTAGTAAACAAAACAGTGCAATCTCATGGGGCCTTAGAGGTTTAAAAAAAAAAAAAAAAACAAAACCAACAAGTTTTGGACAAGCTTAGAGGTTTAAAAAAAAAACAAAAACAAAAACAACAAGTTTTGGACAATGCAGCTCATAAAACCTCAGAACTGTGCAAAAACTTACAACCTAAGAAGACATAAAGGTAGAATACTGGTATTTGGGAATTGCAGTCTAGAGGTGATACCAAGTGACATTGGTGAGCTTTGCAAAAACAAAGAGAGAAAGAAGAAAGTGAAAATGGCAAGTGCACAGGTACTTGGGTCAGTAAGAGCTAGAGCAGGGGGGGCATGGCAGACTTGAGAGGGCAAAAGTAAAGTAGCAGAGATAAGGGAAAGGATGCCCATGGGGAAATGAACATACCACAGAGGAAACAGCATGGTTGCTGTGGTAAACTGGGCAGAAGGTTCTGCCTTGGGACCTCTGGAAGGGCATGGGCTCTCATTTCAGCATGGAAGTGAAAGAAAACCACAAGATCTTATGTACTGAATGTGTATGAAAATGCAGCCTGGAGATACCAAAAATCTGAATAGAGACAATAAGGAATGTTCCAAACTCTGAAGATCTCTAACATCAGTAAAGAAGGTCTTTGTAAATGAATTTGAATAAATTGTGTGTGAATAGCATAATTACTGAAAGATGAGATGATCAGTGGCACTTTGAGTAGCTTGCAGAATGTAGAGAGAGAAAGCAGCAGGTCCAGCAAAAGGCAATTGCTGTAGTCCAAGCGTGAAATCATAAAAGAATAAATGCTTTCCTTAGAGGATGGGCTGAGGTTACATTAATTAGATAAAGCAGTAAAAACATGCATTCTCTCCATCAAGATTGTTTTTTCCTTCAGACATCCTTTCTAGTTAACTCTTAGGTGACAGACAGTAGGTACTGCCTAGCAATATTTGCTGATGTCCCCTCTCCATGTGCTTCTCACCTCTTGAGCAGTGAGGGGTAGCTGGGATGAAGGAATGGAACCTATCCCCTGTATTTGCCAAACAATTTCTTCTTTTTAAATTTGCCTTTCAGTATAGGAATAGTAGAAGAGTGATGTAACCATTTACCTTTGTTTTAACTAGATTTTCAGCAGTTTGTGTTACCCAGGATTTTTAAAGATAAGTTGAAGAACTCACCATGAAGTTTGCAGTTTTCCTCATGTTGTCAATGACTTTTCCCAGAAGATTGTGCCAGCAAGCACTGGGCAGGGAATGCTGCACAGGACTGTTGCAAGGTGGTATAACTGAAGGACTGCTTTGTTTCTTGAGGGAAAAGAAATCACTGTGAAAGGAAAATAGCTGTAAGGCTGAACTGGAAATCTGAAAGCATAAATTCTGAAAGGAAGGAGTAAAGTTCAAGGCAGTGCAAGGGTAATTTCACTTGCTAAGACCAGGATCTGTTAAACTCTTGCCTCAGCAAAGTTGCCAACCAGCAGCCTGAGAGGACAAACATCTTTATTAGTAACAGCCACTGCCAAGAGAAAAGTGAACTCTGATTTGCTGAGTAAACTTCTGCATCCAACCTCTCTTTCCCTCACGTGACCCCCACAGTCTGCCCAAAATTAATCTCCCTGTCCTTGTGCACTGAACATTTTGGCTCTTTGCATGTTGTTTCTGATGGCTCAGCTGTTCCTCCTCCAGCCTGGGATGGGAGACCCAGAGCTGAGCCTGTTCCCCAGCTCTTACCTCTGCCACCAAGGACCCCCCGAGCAACCACTGCCACCTCACCAGGGAAAGCAGGGAGTGGGACAGCATTGGAGCAGGGAAAGTGCCTTGCCTACATTCCCTTGCATTTGTCTTTGGCACTGTATAAATGTTTCACTGGAATACTGTAGTCGTTAATTTTGCAGAAAGCTCCTGGATTCATGGAAGATTAAGGGTTTTCTAGAGGTTTTCACATTAAAAAAATTGTTTCTTTATTCTTTTTGACTCCGCTTCATTTCCATTATCAGATAGTCATGGGAACTTTCCATGTAGTATAATGTGGGCTACCAATCCTCACGTTGCCCTGGTTTAAGGCAGGAAATGAAGCATTCTATACATTAAAGAGACTTTTAAAAGAACCTGTTGTGATCAGTTGCTGTGTTTTGCTGGCATTTCTGGCAAACTCTCTGCTTTTGGAGTAAAAAAAAAAAAAAAAAAAAAAAAAACCACAAAAAAAACTATTCCTGGGATGCTAAATGAAAAAAATCTACTTTACTACAGAGTTAAAATAAGAGTCTTTGGACATAATGTCTCATAAGACATTGAGCTGTCATTGATAGGAAACTTCATTTAGATTCTTTTGTGTTGAGATGTGTCACATAGGCAAAAATACTTTAACTAAACTATTAGTATTTAATAACCCTCCTCTGTTCATATTAAAAATCTTTCCTTTGCATTATTTTACTTCTATACATGACTTTTTTTAATCTAAGTGCTTCCTTCAGTCACTGAAGTGCAGATTGCCTACAGTGTGACTGCCATGCTTTGCTGAGTACTCAGTGTTCCTCTGTTACTCACTTTCTTCAGTCTTAACTGGATTGTTATGAATTTGGTTTGTCTCCTTGAGTTCTACAAAGTTGTTTTCTTAATTTTTTTTTTCTTTGAGCCAATTCATCCTAAATTCATATTGACTTGACATTCTGGTATCTTTATTTAATATTCACTCCATTGCCTTAGAACTTTTCCAGTAATAAGGTGACCAGAACTGAATGCAGTATCCCAGCTAAGTTCCAAGGTCATGAAGAGTTTACAAGCTTCCAGTATCTGTGACTTGATGTCATTTCTTACATGTGCCAACATGTGCCTTTGTGCTGCCATATTGTGTTGCCAACTCATGTCCCTTTATTCTCTTTTCTGAGCTTAGTTCAGTGTTGCTACTTCATGATTTATTTCTTCTGTTTAATATTAGTGTTAAATTATTTTCCCCAGCTGTACATTTTTTTTTGTCTGAGACATTTGGAGTGAAGAAGCTGGGAACACTGAAAGCAAGCTGTAGCAATATCCATGCCTGAAATTCTTGGAAAATGAATGCAGAATGTTGACTCTCCTGTTATTGCTGTTGTATATTTAAGTGGTTGTGTAGACATAGATAGACAAATTAATGTAATCTCTTATAATGCACATGAGCTGTGTGCATGATAAGTACTATATCCTATGTGAACTGCTGTACATTGTATCTGATCCTCTTTGTGCTATACAATTTTTTTACCTAATTTTCATTTCTCTATGACTTGAAGATTATTTTTTTAGATTAGCTTTGTTAATGTTGTTTCATTTTTCTATTGACTCTTATCGAGATCTTAGAAATCAGTCACTTGTTTTCTTTTTTTTTTTTCTTTTCCTATTTTTCCTTTCAAGAAATCATGTCATGCTGGAGTCAAAGCAAATTACAGATATTGCGCATTCATGATTTTTTTCTTCACTAAGGCAGTTTGCACTGCAGTCAGAAGGCTGTGAGGAACCACCTTGGATCACTGGGATAGGCATGCTGATTAGTATTATTTTGGGATGGTATTGTTTTTAAACATTCAGATGTTTTCCCTCCCCCCAGTATTAAACTCTCCTAACCAATTCACTGTTTGTAAAATAGAAATTATGTTAAAAAAATCATCATTATGTATCTTATTTTCCTACAGGACTTACAGATAATCAGTACAGATGAAAACCAGGTGTTTGTGGCTGTACAGGAGTGGTACCAGACAGACACATACAACCTGTACCAGTCTGACCCACAAGGTGTTTACTACTCCATCTTGCTGGAAAATGTCCGGAGCACGAAGCAGCCAGAAGAGAATGTCCTGATAGATATTCTGGAGGTGGATCTTTATATTTTCCATTATGTGTTGTCTGTGTGGAGGATTTTTTTTTTTTATTATTATTATGAGTAGAATTAATTTCAAGTAATGTATTTTCACAGTTATATTTAAATAGAAAGTCTAGGATATCTGTCTTATTTGTGGCACATTGTTACTACTTACATGTTTCCCTCTTGCCCTACTAATGTGTTGTGTACTCTAACTAAATTCTTGGGATGGGGTTCTATGGATATGCAAATCCAAAACTTGCTAAGTTTTTTTAAAGATACTGAAAAGTGAATCTGGCAGCACAATTTATTATTGAAGTAAGAAGCTATGCAGCTGTCTATGTACAGCTTTTTTCTTCTAGATGACTCAGTGCTGCTTTTCCTCACTTAAGAGCAGGACATCTTTTAGACAGTAGGGTTTTAAGTAGTAATCCTGCAAGCCTTGTGCTAGGTTGTGTCAGCTCTGAAAGGCTGAGAGCCAACAAAATTAGATATTGGACAGGAAATTCACTTGCTTTCAGTACATGTCTTGTGCCAACAGCATTTTCTATGAGACCAACTCAGCTGTAAACAAATCTATCTTGTATTTTAACATCAGTGCACTTGGCAAAATAAAAGACTATAGTGTTTTGGAAGAGTATCACAGGTTGTTATCAATTCCATTCCTGTTTAGGGAATGGAATTTCAGTGTAATGAATTTCAATATAATATAGTGTACATTTGCTCTGGTTCTGTTCTTTCTGGCCATTATCAGAACATTAAACTGGCTTTGGTCTGATTCAGTTTGTCCCATTACATGTAATTTGACTGGTTTTAATTAAAAAAAAAAAAAAAACAACAACAACAACAACAAAAAAACCCCAAAACCTTACGTACTAACCAGATTTCTTTGGTAAAGGTTTGTAGTAATTCTGGATACAAGGCACGCACTGACAGAACTGTTAAATGGCTGTAATTAGACTCCTCTTGGTGGGGGAAAATAATAGTGTTTTCTTCCTCCTTATCTCCTCCATCTTTCTTTAGCTTTTTCTTTCTAAATGGCTGTGGTAAAACAAAAAGGTCTCTCATTACCAGTGATTATTTTCTAGACTCTACCTTTTTAGAAATGAGGCTTCCTAATGAGTGAAGCTACACATTGTGTGTAGCCACGTTCCCACAGGGTGATTTATTGACAGCATTAGTTTGCAGCATTTTACTCTCAGTCGCCCCTGTGACCAAGCAAAGCTAAAAGGCAGTCAGGTGCAATCTCTACTCCTTGCATCACCTGTAGCATGTAATTTCAGATAAGTTGTACAGAGATGCTACCCCTGGCTATCCTTTTGTCTACAAGAATTATTAACTTAATTCAGTTACACTGATTGTTTCATAATTTCCCAATGTTTCCGAGGGCATATTAGATAATGAAATTGTAGTTTATTGTGTGCTGGATCAATTTGTAGGGTTACATTAAAGAGGAAACATACACATGATAAGGACAATACACATGGAGCTGTACAATTCCATTTTTTAAAGCTATTTTTGAAATTGAATTGCTTTATAGAAGAGCACTGATGGCTTCTAGATAGCTTGCATGATAAATAATTAGTGCTCATCTTGTTTACTAGAATGGGATCAAGTGCTCATAATGTGTGGGTTGTTTACTCAGTATAAAATTGCTAATAAATAAAACACATATTGCAGCCCTTGAGGATGGGATTTTTTGTTTTAATCTAATCTGGGTTTTCTTTTTTGGGCAAGTATCCCATCTTGGGAAGAGGAACTTCCAGTGCAGCACAGAGACAGTCCTTAGTGGTGGAAAATTTCTCTTTCTGCCAGTGTGTAATTCTCCTTAAAATTTGTACTGTTCATCTTTGCTATCTTCTGACTGCACTTAATCTTTTACTTGTACATCTGCTATAAAAGTTTTAATAGGTATCTGCCTGTATTAATTTTTTTTATATGCTTTATCTTTTTTTTTGCACCGTATTTCTTCTCACGTTGCACATGTAAAAGGGAACAATTTATGAATACTTGTTTAAAGAAGAGAAGAAAAAAAAAAAACTTACGTACTAAATGGCTGTCCAAAAGGAGCATGCCCTTGAATAATGTGACTTTATACAAGGAGCATGTCCTTGAAATTGTGACTCCTTCACACTGGCAGCACTTGATACAAATTTGACATAGGCATATGTGCAGAATGTAGAGAGATATTACTAATGTAATATCTCCACATTGGTTCCTGCTGTGACTCCTTATGTAGATAAGAGCTACATGAGTTGCAGTACGCTTTTTTTCCCAAACAACAAATTGCATATATTTAAATTTTAGCCACAAACATATATTATATAGCAGTAATTTCTGCATTTCAGTAACTGCCACTAATAAACACTGTGGGACCATATGAACTGTGCTTCTTGCTACCAACTAAACAGAATATTGTTGAGATGGAATATCAGAAATGCAACAAGGAGGAATTAATAAGTCACAGCAGAAAGTCTCAGAAAATAATTTTATAAGGTACAACGAGCTTTTCTAAGAGTACTGGGCAACAACTATCCCCTGAACTGTTTAAGAAATTAGGTACTCTGACAACTAAGCTCAAAGTTAAAAAAAATCAGCAGAAAAGTGCTTTGAATTTCCTCAAGTTCATCTGTCTTGAGTGGCTCCTGGACTGTTCATCAGAGGAACTAAGCACTGCAATGCTGAAATGTCTTCTTTTCCATAGCAACTTACTATTAATGTGAATCTTTTCCTTTCTTGATAGAAAGATACTTATCTTACAGTTTTAGATTAGGGAACAAAGTTAAGGAATAGAATGTACAGAAGAATTTGGGTGCCTTGGCATCACAGTCTAAGCCAGGAGATAGATTAGACACACTTCATTTCCAGTATTTACAGAGTCAGGTGTGTATTTGTACAGGCCACAGGATAAATGAGATGGAAAATGCTACAGCAGGGGTGGGCTGTTTTAAAGATGCCATTTTTTACACACCATAATTTTGTGTTAGTTATTGAGTTTTAGGCTAATGCACCACTCTGAACATGATATTTCTGAACTTGCTCTGAAGATAGATGCCTGAAACCTATTTATTATTTCAAGCAGGGTTTATGCCTTTCATTCAAAGTGCAACTGCTGTGAAGTGCTGGTTGGCTTTTATCTTTTAAGGCAGCAGTGAGAGAAGTTAACTGAGACACTGGAAGAAATGTTTTCATAACCTTTCAATGTATGATAGATTCAAACACTTATGTCCCATATTCTAGAAGTTACCCTAGAGCTTGGTTAGATTAGAGACGGGAGTGGCAATGGAGAAAAATTTTAGCTTGACTCCCATTTGATGATTATATGGAATTATTAAATATTCATTAAGTGAGGGGGTGGGGAGGGGAAAGAAAGGAGAAACAAAAATAATCATGATGCAGCACTGGTTTTGCCATCCACAGATGAAGAGGGAAACCTCAGTTGCAGTCCCTGACCTAATTATTGTTTAAATATTTAATATTGTGTTCACTGGAAGGAAGACATGCACAGAAATTTTACCCCAAGTCTGTCTTCCCACGTAAATATTTGAACTGTCAGGCTTTTCCTGGCTGAGCTGTCTCTCGAACGTAGACTATGTAAAACATCCCCAGCAAGATTAAAATGCTTTGAACGTAAAGAAAGTAGGTTCATAATTTCTTCTCTTCCTCTCCTTTTCTCACCTGCACTGCAATTAGTTGACTTTTATGGTATGTTTGACTTGGAGGTAGTTCTGAACTTTCAGCATCCTGGATAAGTACCCCAACCACATACGCATAGAATTTAAGAAAGAAGGAGTTTGTGAGAGAGCAGAGTATTTAAATGTTTATACAGATTTTTTTTTTCATATATAAACTTAAATATATTTCCAAATTCTAGTCTGTTTCTATAACCAGCAGAACATTCTTATTCTCTGTAGATTTGGATAAGTTCCTTCCTGTGTTTAATAACAGTGAGTATCAAATCTGTAGCCTGCTGGTAGAGATGCCTTCTTTTCACCTTCAATGCAGACTTCTGCTAAATGAATGTTAAATGGAGTCAATAACTGGCAGTTGGGAAAAGAAAGGAACAGTAAATATTTCAAATGAAAAAGTTCAGAAGTGCATCATGTTATCAGGAGGCAAATATTCCAGATCATTTGAAGAGCTGGCTGTCTTGTGCATTTATTTGTAATGAATGATTCAGTTTTGTTAAGAGTCAGCACCCAAGGAGATGAGCAGGCTGTACTGTCCTGGAAATGTGTATCAGTTTATGTATGTTGTCCAGAATTTTTCAAAAATTCAGGAAGTCTCATAAATAATGGCAAGGGAACCAAGAGCACTCTTAAGGAAACCTTCACTTTTAATAGAAGACCTTATCTCATGCCCAAGGGTGGAATATACATTAATATGTTAATAATATAAATGTTAGGGCTAGAACTAAACATATTACATTATAATTACTGTCAGGTTGCTTCTAAAATTATACCCATTAACTTTGGCACTTTGAGTTGTAATAATTTTCTAATACAGGTTGTTTGAAATAAAATAACAGCCCAAGAGAAGAAGGTCTTTTTTTTGTTATTAGTTTTTCTCCAGAGGTTAAACTGGTGAAGGGTGGCTAACTGGAGTGTGGAAGGATTTCAGATGCTTGAGAGGGTGAAACAGCCCTCAATATGTCTTCCTCAGATGACCTGCCTGTATTTATTTTCTGCAAAGGACAAGAGTGCTTCCCAAATCAGTGTTATTTTAAAGGATATAATACTGTGTTGTATTATTGAAAGCTGTTTGTGTGATATGGGCACAGAAATTAAGGTTAGAAGTTAGATGATTGTTAAAAATTGCTTACATCATTTGTAGAATAGCATTTTAAAGATGTCCATATTTAAAGAAAATGCAGAGGGGAAATTATATTGGTGAGGCCATGCTATCATAATTTTTATATTTTGCTATATAAACCATTGTGTTTTTCTATATTAAACATGTAGTTTAATTAGCCTTCTGACATGGAGAGAACTGCAGATGCTTTTTAAATACATTTAGAAATAAAAATCAGTTTGTAATTGTCCTTGCCTTCCCCCTTCCTCTCTTTCCTCTTATATTTTTGCCTTCCTCATATTTTTTTTAAGGTATCATCTGCTTTCCTTTCAGTTTCCAGGAGAAACTACCTGAGGTACACAGTTCAGAGCCACAAAAGAGCAGCTAATCAGGGATAATCCTTGTTGAAAAAAACCTGTATGTGCTGGATATTAGCTTTTCTTCTCTATGCTTCAGGTCAGAGGTGTAAAAGGAGTCTTTTTGGCCAACCAGAAAATTGATGGGAAAGTTACGACCCTGATAACCTACAACAAAGGCCGTGACTGGGATTTTCTAAACCCTCCAGACATCGATATGAACGGCAAGCCCACCAACTGCAAACCTGTAAGTGGCTCTTTTGGTGTATCCTCCCTCTAAAGTGTGCAAGAATTATCTGCATGGTAGGATGTGCAGTAGTTCCAGCAGCCCAAGAGCTTTGTGCTGAGTTTAGCAGCCAAACTAGCAGGCAAATGTGCTTGCACTGCATGGGCTGTGCTTCCACAGGCTCTTAGTCCAGTCATCGTGTAGAGTGAGGAGTCAGGGCTTTCTGGTGCACTGCATTTCTTATTTGAGAACACTCTGACACAGAGTGTCATTTCTTGTATGTCAACCACACAATCCAGTTCAGAATAATCATGGCAGTCATTTGTGTCTGGATAAATGGGGCACATCATGTATCAAACAGAGATTACCAATAATTTTTCTCATTCCATCTCTCCATATTTTTGTTTCATAATAAACCAAGGTTTCCTGTTAAAGGGAACTCCTGAAAGTTGCTTGAAAATAAATACCATAGTAACTTGCATATAGTATTCCTTTCTTTTTGTAAGATATTATTTCTGTTTGTTTTGATGTCCCAAGTGCCCATAGTATTTTATTATTTGCAAGGCTGTACTGAAAACCTTATATTTTTCCCGCTGACTCTCTGCTCCTGGGGACTCAAAGCTCTGCATTGGTGGGCAAAATAAATGCTTCTAGTCCTGCCACTGCCAGAGCTTTACTCCCCATGGCAGAAGTGGAGGGCTGGAGCTGCTGGTTCCCTTTTGGAGAGTTCAGGGCTATGCTGCAAGGCTCCAGCCTGTGGGGTCTGGTGCAGCTCAATCTCAGATGAGTGGGACAATGGCAGTGGCAGCAGCTCCCAGGCAGAGCTGGCAGCTGGATTTTGGTAAAGCTCCTGGTCACATTGCTGTGAATAAAATGACCTTTGAGTGCACTGCACAAAGGGCAAGAAGCAGTAAGTTGCTTAGCAAAGAGACATGATGTGTCCTAAAGTCATTATGCTATTTTTCATACACTTTTTTACTAAAAAAAGGCATTTCAGCCCAAACAGTTATTTTTAATAATAATTTTACCATTTACCTGGGACGAGCAAACATGCAATACTTGTTGCTGTTAGTTAACATTTTAAGCAATTATTCTGTCAGAAGGGGTTTATATAATAATGCTGACTTCCTCGGGTCTGGAAATATTTTTGTTGAGACAGTGGCACACTATGCAGACATCACCAGAAACTCTTGATATAAAGTGAAGACTGATACTTCAGACTGGAATTGGGCTCTGTGGGAATCAGCCATTCTTTTTCTTTATGAAGACATACATTGCTGAAGCTGCTCCCTGTCTGGGCTTTCATTTAATCTAGGAGCATAACTGGTAGCAGTGATTTTTAAAACCTGTTCTCTGCTTCTTCCCCCACAAGCCTGATTGTTACCTCCACCTCCATCTGCGGTGGGCAGACAATCCCTATGTGTCAGGCACTGTGCACACCAAGGACACTGCACCAGGGCTCATCATGGGGGCAGGTAAGTGCCTGGCATTGCTTTTTAAGACCTGAAATGTGGCAGGAATTCTTTGTAGATCTAGTCTTTGTAAGAATACCATGCTAAAAACATTGCCAAAATAAGGCTTTCCTGCAGAATAATCCTTTATGATCAAACAATTCAATATATAAGTTAATGGAAGGCCCAGAGTTGTGTCTTAGACAGATCTGTATCAGTCATCTGGGTGCATTATGCTCTGCTCTGCTGTGCAGTACCTCCTTCCCCATTAATGTGGAGGTGTGGCGGTGGCTGAAGGACATGTCCTGCATTCTTTTACTCTGCAGACCCTCCAGCATCATGAATAACCCAGAAAAACTGATGGAAACAGTGGTCAATCCTTTGTTCTTTAAACCTGGATACAGAAAATTTGTCTTGTAATTTTTCTTAATTCCTTTCTGCCTAAAGAGAGAGGAATTGAAAGAGGCTGTGTTGGGAACAATGCTGGTTGTGGCTTCTCCATTATAACTTACATGTGGAGTCATGTCAATATGAAGTGGAATTTAATAAAGGAAATTCCATTACAGTGTTGAGCACTCATCAAGAAAAATACTCACATAACTCAGTTTTGCTTTGTATCTTTGTAATCTATCTATTCATTTTATTTAATCTTCTGTTTCTTTGTTTCAAAATTGTCTAAATGTTAATGATACTAAAAGATTTTTAAAATTGTATTATTTTATTCTTATGAATAAGAATTTATGGATTTAGGTGAAATGCACACATGTAGGCTTCTCTTTTCATAAAAGTGCATCTGTTTTTAATGAATAATGGCTTCTGCTTTATCTTACACTAGTCTCTGACAAACAGCTTACTAAGTTGAAAGTTTCCTCAGAATGTCAAGGTGAGAATAATTGGTGTTTAAAGAGAATGACAACTGCCAGTACTGGTAATTTTCAATATAACTGAAGACTTCAAGGTTTTTTGTAGAGAGAGTTTAAAGTATTTTACTGGAGACAGATCTACCTGGTGAAATGCTGCTCTGTTTTTGTTGGTACAAATCAGACTAAGAATTTATGCAATGCCCTTGTAGATAGATTCCTGATATGTATTCAGGTCAAACTTTATGAATTCAAATGTTTCAAAAAATATCTTCCATTTCAAATGTCTTCTTTTTTCATGAAAGCACTCAAAATGTGGGTTCTTAATTTTAGCCTCATTATATCATGTTTAAATGCCTTCCAGTAGTAAATTAATCACTGAGATTTAATTAGTCCATGATTCCTATTTAATTTTTCTTTTTCTTTGCACTGTAATCTGATGTGTTGAACAGATATTTGCAGAGATGTCAGGTTGTTTCCTTTTGTTTAGGGTTTGTAGATTTTTTTAAGTGCACTGTTCTCTGAGACTACATTAGGGAGGGCAGGTTGTAGAAGAGCATTTTGCCCTTAATGCCCCTCTAGAATGAGGTGACATTTTATCACTGTGACGTTGTCTGTGTGTCACTGTGACATACTCTGCCAGGTAGAGAACTTGTCAACAGCTTTCCTCAATGTGATCAGGAGGGAGTGGTTTTGATAACATCCATGAAGAACTGAACTAATATGTTAAATTTGACTTGCCTGTGGAGCAACCAGTAATATATTGGGAATGGTAGAAGGCACCCTTGCTCAGTTGCAAGCCACTTTGTTGTGAGCTACCTAAAAAGCTGGGAGAGGTTGTGTGAAAGTGGGAAAAATTTGAGTGCAAGAGAGTGCAGTGTGTCCATTTTCTGGTAGAAGAAAAACTTCTGTAGCTGAAAACAAAGCAAAGGCATCTATTTTGGAGCCTTAAAAATACTGTAAAGCAACTGCATCCCCTTGCCAAAAGATGACCTGAATCAACTCTCATTTTGACTTGCATTTACATTATTTGGATGCCCAGGTCATCTGGATTCAGTGCATGTGTTCAGTCTTATCTGGCAAACCTGATACCCTTGTAAACTTACACTTCTTATCAGAAATGCTTTGCATAGAGTGAGCTTGAATTTCCTTTGGCCTGATCCTTGAAACTGATAATCCTATATGAACCAACATAAGTATTAGGTTCTTGGTAGATCCAGGAATCAGATTATTTGGGCCACATCACACACTATTGGAATTTTACTGTTAGATTTAGGGAGAGCACATCTTCTGGAAATGACTGAAGATTATAAGACCCGTGAATGTCAGTTGATCACAGCATGTCTAGGAATCATCAGTGCCTTGTGCTGTAAAAAGCAAAATTATTCTTGGTGTGAAATAGGTAAATAATTGCCAACAGAGAGAGGGAATTATTAATACTCTGGCAAAATACTGTACAGTGACATTATTAATATGACTGTGTACAATTCTGATAATCAATTTTCAGGACCAGTGAGCAGGTGCTAAGAAGGTCTCTTTGGCAGTTGATGAAAATAGAGAATATTTACAAGAAACCCCCCCCATTAGATGAAAAACTAAAGGGCAATAAAGAATATGATTTTTTTTTCCCCTGGAAGTGTAACCATGGGGTAGAAACAAGTGATGCAAACAAGTGGATAAGAACTGGAAGTATGGTTCCAAAGCATAAGAACCCTATCGATAAAAAAAAAAAAAAAATCCCTTTAAAAAGTGGATTTTAGCTTCTTTCTGGGAAGCTTATACAACACAGCTGCTTTTGGTAATGGAAAAGCTATTCTGTGACTTAAGTACAGTTTTGATATGGAAAATGCTGGAAAAATCAGAGATCAGAGACTACTGAATATTGTTTTAATTTCAAAAAAGGAATTATTAACTGGTGAACTGCATTAACACCTAGAAAATTGGGAAAATGTAACATCTTTAATAAAATGATAAAATTGTATCCTTTTAAACTCATGTTTACAAATAAAATCCCCACTCTGTTAAACTTGCATAAATAGTTCTCAGGAACTCATATTTTTAGCTTATGTCTATATAAAAATTGTTCAGACAGAATATTAAATTTTGTAGCTCCATATGAAAGTGGTATTTTAAATAACTGCTTTGCTCTCTTTAAGAAATGCAATAGGATTTTGCATTTACATTTGATTTTTGTGCATTTTAATCTTGGCAACCACTTCTATTTCTCACAGCATCAGCTATGAAATGTGTGTCAATTGATGTGTAAATTTTTACTATAAACTTGCTAAGGACTTTTCTATGAAAAATGTTTAGAGAAGTGTAGCTTTTTCAGGTGCTAGTTTACAATAATTGCCTGCTTAGCTTCCAAGCCAGATGGCAAATCAAGCAAGCAGTAAATTCTGCACATTCACACAAATTGAGGAAGCGCTGGAGAAGTTCTGTTTACTTTTTCTCATATCAGGGCCAAATATAATTGCATACATTGTGGTGAATTTCCATCATTTTTCACAGAACACACTAGGATGCCTCTATCAAAAAAGGATAAGGGAACAGGGAGATGATTGAGCATTTTCCAGTACATTTTGGAGTGAACATCCTGAAATTCCTTTAAATTTTTTTGTTACATTCCTCAATTCTGATTCCCCACTCCCTCATCTGAACACACCTTCAACTTGCCAGGCAAAACTGTGTGTCTGGGAGATTTAAATACAAATTGGCTGTATGTTTGTTCTATACTGTGACTACAAGATTGCAAACCATGAAATTTTAACTTAGTGTGCATGGCCCAAGGGCATGTCACAACTGTATTAATTACCAGTAATCCAGGCAAAGCACATCTCTGTTTTTGGAGCAGGTGTCTGCCTGTATGCTAAATTTAAGTGATCGGAAAAGATTTTCCATATTAGAAGGATTATCTAAGCGTTGCATATGGGGATTACTTCTTCTTACTGTAAACATGTCCAAAGTCACATATAAAAATATGGGTAAACACAGCAATAACTAGCACGTAAAATATGTAAATTGACGGTATATTTTAAATGAAGTAATCTTCCATGTTTTTTGTGATCCAGTAAGAACCTGCCAAAATTTCTCTCTTGAAATCTGTATTGAGAGCTGTGTTTCCCACAGCTATACCACCTTTCCAGAGAACTTTGCTGGCCACCAGACATCACTGAAAAACATTGTTTTCTTTCACATCCCTCTGCTACCAGCTGCTAAACTGTCTTGTGCAGAGTTACAGAAAGCTTGGGGAAAAAGCTATGTTGAACAGTAGTTAGTCTGTATTCTAGTTTTTGGTACTGCCACCCTGCAAGGATGGAACACATGATTTTATGCAGTTACCTTAAATCAGCCTTTAGTCAGCACAAGTGAAAAAACAAAAGAAGATTTCATGTATACCAAAACACAGTTTGAAAAGGTTTCCAAGAATGCAAGTAACGGAAATGAAAAATTACTGTTGTTAATAAAACTGAAAAAGGCAGGCCAAAATGTTTCCCTTTGCTTCCTGAATAGAAGCAGTGTCAGAACATAACAGCAGAGAAAAACTGACTTAGGCTGATTCCATCTAGCAGAGTGTCCTGGCTGTGTTGGTGGCAAAAGCCTTTGTGAGAGTGTTTAAGGATAATTCAGGTGTGTATCATCCCCCAGGCATTAGAGAAGACACACAAATGAGTAATTTAGTAACAAAAAGAATACAAAATATTGTAAGTCAAATTTGAGAAATTTCTGTATTACAAACAAACTTGCTGAAACTCGATGGCAAACACTCTGTGTCGTGTCAGTGGAGTTTTCAGGGCACTCAGATCAGAAGTCATGTTAGAATGGTTCCATTTGTAGCTGTGGCTAATAAAGCCTTGGCATGGTTTAAGTCCAGCCAGCAACTACACATCACACAGCTCCTTGCTCACTTCCCCTCCAGGAGGGTGGGGGAAGGGGAATTGAGAGGGTAAAAGTGAGGAAACTCATGGATTGAGATAAGAGCAGCTTAAATAACTGAAATAAATAATAATAAATTGAAATGAAAAGAAAAATGAGAGAGAGAAACTAAATCCAAGAAAGAGAAGTAATGTAAATAAAAACAGTTGCTCACCTCCAACCACCTGGAGCCCAGCCTGTCCCTGAGCAATGCCCCTGCACCAACCTCTTCCCCAGTTTATTGCTGAACATGCTGACACATGGCCTGGAATATCCCCAGGTCAGCTGGGGTCACTTGTCCTAGCTGTGCCCATTTCCAGTTTCTTGTGCACCCTCTGCCTCCTCACTGGTGGAGTGGGTTGAGGAGCAGAAAAGGCCTTGACTCTGTGTAAGCACTGCAGTACTGGAAACATCTTTGTGTTGTCATCAACACCCTTCTCAGTACAGGTCTGAAACACAGCCCTGTACCAGGTGCTGTGAAGAAAATAAACTCTACCCCAGCCCAAACCAGCACATGCCTGCAGCTGATTCCCCATTCCAGTTGCAGTTACTTTTTCAGTATGAACTTGAGTTGCCTTCAGTGTATTAGATTACATTTACTTGCTCTCCCAGATGGATTTTGAGATCTAACACAGACCCGTTAACATGATAGAAAAGTTTTTGTGCTGTAGTGGCATGGCTGAGGAGTTACTGCAGATATTTACAGCTGCAATAAGAAGCACTGATTTTGGTGTGGCCCACCAGGCAAAGTAGCACACTGATATTTGGGGGGTGAGGTACAGTGCAAACACTTCAGGACTTGGTGGGAATGGTAATTAAACATTGTTGTCTTCCAGTCTTGGGCTGGGCATAATTGCTTCTTTCTCACCTTCTCTTGTCACTTGGTCACAGAGTCAGTTGTGCTCACATGGTATTGGCTGCCACACTTACACAAATATGTTTTGTAATTCTCCTCAGATATATCATGGAAAGGTTTAGAATTTCTCAGTTCTACTTAGACTGCTGTGGCTTTGCAGTTGTTTGTTTGCAGTGTTATTAATGTCAGGATTTTTTTGCATTTCATTTGATGTGAATTGGAGCTGTTGTAAAGGGGTTTATAGGGTGCCGTTACATGCACTGTGTTAAGTTAGCTGGTTTATCAGTAACACAACACTCTGCAAGGTAGCTAGAGCCTAAAATTATGCACTTTATTTTAAATCTCAAAAAGAACAAAATGCTCCAAATCTTTGAAGTTATTTTTATTAGCGTATTGAAAAATAAAGTTTAAAAATGTAACTTTTTAGCTAGAGAAAACTTATAGCTCTTGTGTCACACATGTTAAATAGAAAGGTTTGCTAATAAAAGTGGGGTAAGTTCTCTTGGATCTTTGAAGGACTTGGTTTTATTCCAGTTCTACATTTTCAGGCTAAGAGCTTTCAGAGTGGCTTTTCTGTGGCTTATAAAACTTATGCATCACTATGTGTTCCTGTGGAAGTTTCCTTCTGTCTGTCACATGTCAGATTTGGCTGCATGGGTGCTTCCCTCTTCACTTTGCAGGAGCCTGCCTGTCTCCTCTGGTGCTGCAGCTTTCCTTCTTTTGGCCTTGCCTGCTTTTTCTTTCTGAATTCACTGATGCTCTTTTTCAGCAGGCCATGGTCTGTGGTAACCACAGAACAAACTCCAACTGCACTGAGAAGTTTTATCCTTCCTTACAGAAAAGTGTAAGGCTTTTTTACCTAAAGCTTTTTTACATAAAGCTTTATGGCTTTTTTTTTTTTTTTGTTTTTTTTTTTTTTTTGTTTTTTTTTCCCTGCTTGAAGACTTCATTCTACAAAGTTTACAAAATTATGTCATATAATTGTGTGTCCCAAAAAATCTGGAAGTAGTGAAAGTTACAGCCTTCATTAATGCCACAATTAAACATTGTGTCAACAATCAGCAGGTCCTGCATGTACCACTTCTGGGCTTCCACCCTTGGCCCATGGATGGACTTTTTTCAAAGGTCAAACATCACTGAAGTCCTTTTTCCCAAAGCAGTGTCCCAGATTCTGTTCCTGTTGGCAGCAGTTGTGGTTTAGGCAGAATGAAAAGTCTGTGGAATTATAACTGAGCCCACCAACTCCTTTTGCTCTTTTACCAAGGAAAGGCAGTAAAGATAAAATCAGAACTAGGAGAACTCATGTCTTTCTTTTAGCAGAGGTGCAAGTACAATGCTGTTGCTAATGTCATTACTAAGTCAGCTGGATACAAAAAAGGCTTTTTAATGAAGCTGAGTAGATGCTGTTTTGTTTACAGAGTAATTTTCCATTAGCAAGGCAATTTACCACTGAGTTCTTTAAAGTGCAGATCCCTAGCAATACTCAAAATAAAGACCCGCTCATCCAAGTAGAATTCAGTAAGTGGTGAAAAGAGGTAGAATAAACAGCATTTATTCAGGAGCAAAACTAACACTGCATTCATTAAAATTATCTGTGTAAAGAAGAGTGTAGACTGACAGCAGTATGTTAGATTCTAGCAAGCAAATAAATATTTCTGTTTTCAGCTGTCCTATAGAAAACATTTTGTGATTAACTTCAGTAGCACAAGAATATGTCCATTTGCAGGTGATACAGCAGTGAAAAGTATAACAGAGTAAAGTAAGAATAGCAAAAGAAATTTATTTTGTATATGCAGTTTATCAAATCTTCCTTCCCTTCCTTCAGCCCTAAGAAGGTGATTTCTTATTCCTTTCTCCTTTTAGTGATCAGATTAATCTCAAAGTGGTTTTTGGGGAGAAAATATAACTGAATTAATGTGTGAAGCCTTCCTTTTGGAAGTATTTCATTTGGTTATATTCATGGGAGGTCTAGGTTAGATATCAGGAAAAGGTTCTTCACCCAGAAGGTGACTGAGCTTTAGAACAGCTCCCCAGGAAAGGGTCACAGCATTAAGCCTGCATGAGTTCAAGAAGCATTTGGACAATGCTCTCAGGCACATGGTCTGATTCTTGAGGTGTCCTGTGCAGGGCCAGGAGTTGGATTCAATGATCTTGGTGGGTCCCTTCCCACTCAACATATTCTATGATTCTATAACCAAGTAAATCTTTGCTGAATTATGTGATAAATGAGAGAATGTGCAGTGTCTTGGAAAGGTGAAAAACCCAAGAAAAGCCCAAGAATGGGAAGTGGCATCTTCTGAACTGTTAGATGTAATTTAAAGGAATTAACTGACTCCTATAAATTCCCTGTTTCAATATAAATGTTGCAGTCCTGTCTAGGATGTATTTAGGGGTAAATGATGTAGAGTTATCCTATTAGTGAGTGGAGCACATGCACCTTTGATGGTCTAAATAGTGTGTATTTTGGGCAGCGTGTATTTTGGGCAGTGGGTGCTGTCGTTCCTCTTGAGAACCTTTCAGCGCCAGTAAGCACACTCTGTATAAACAGATCTGGTTTAGTGGTTAAAGGACAGTTATTTATATAACACACAAGTGAAATTTCATAGTGCTGTTCTAATCTCAAGTGTTTTCTTTCATCATCTCTTCTGCTTAAGAGGATTTGATAATTTTCATCTTATTTCTACTGTGACAACATGCAAGCCATATATTTAAGTCTAAGTCCCCAGGAGGATATTGTTTAGAAGGAATATTGTGCCATTAATGATTCTCCCCTAGAACATTAAGCTGCCTGATGGTTTAATAATTTGCTATTTGAAGAACTGCATGTTAAAAGATGGAGATCTATTTGGGACTGCATCTGCTCCCCAAGTTTAACACTTCTGTTAACTTTGAATTCAGTTAAATGAATTCTCCTCAGTTCTATTTGTCAATATATTAAGTAATTTTCTGCTTAATATTTAGGTAAATCAAATAATTCTTCTTTCAATTATTTTGTATTTACTCTTTTTCAAAAGCCCTGTCCCATCTTTTTGTGTTGCATATTACACCGGATTCTAGTCTAGCTACCTCTTCATCAAGTTTTAAAGACAAAGTATTTCATTTTAACAGTTTGAGTTCAATGTGAATAACTTTACCGAATGTTATTAATGTTTAAGCTTCTGAGTTTACGGGTGTTTCATTCTTACATCTTAAATACTTGTTGTTTCATAATAAATTTTCAGCATGCAGCAACAAAACTAAAATGTTGCTCTGATTTCTGCCTTTTGGTATTAGAATCAAGCCTCATTGCTTCCACCTCTGGACAACCTAGCAATGGAAAGGAAGACTTTGAGATTGTACATATGTGTTTTTAAAGGATTTTGCTGGTTCTACCAGAAATGAAGTAAGCCTGTTCAACTATGTTTAGTTCTTGCTCTGACCTGGAAACTTGTTACACAGACTGGCATCAGGACTACATCCAATCTCTCTTGCTCATGTGGATGCAATCCTTGTTTTCTCCTCTTTTGTGGCAGGTAACCTGGGGTCCCAGTTGGTTGAGTATAAAGAAGAGATGTACATAACATCTGACTGTGGGAACACGTGGCGTCAGGTAGGAGGCATAAATCATCAAAGGAAACTGGAAATAATTGTAATGTACCAAATGTGATGAATTATGTAATGCTTAACTAATCTTTAGATACTCACTCTTTTGAAGGAGGAGGTATTATTATCTCCGGTTTGCTTGGAAACTAAGAGATTAAGAAGGTGATTTTCTAAGACTCAAATTGATCAAGCTGTCAGGTTCTGCTGAAGTTCAAATATTTTGGTCTCTTTAAGGATCCTATAAGTATCTTATGCAAAAAAACATAGTGTCTGTTTAGGTTTTTAATAATGTAAGTAATCTTCCTATGCTAATGATGAAGTGGACTTGTACTAGATCCTGCAGTAAAAACATTCTGAGCTATAAGACATAGCTCAGGTACAAGGGCAAAAATTCTTCTGCTTCATAGTCTGAAATCTGTTACTAAAGCATAAACTTTTTCTTCATTGAAACTGAGACAGTGAGAAGATATTTTCAAAAAATAATAAAAATTTTGAAGTCTTTTGGCATGATTTAATAAATTCATGGACTACAAATACCAAAGTGTTAAAAAGAGAACAGTGAGATCATAATTCTCCTTGAATTCTGAATGGATTTTCTTCCACTGACTAGTGTCAGTTCAAGCATTTCACCTTTCTCGTGTGTTGTTTCCTGAGCTGCTCTGTCTCAGTGTGGTGGGTTTGCCACAGGTGCCCACCAATCTCTCTCTGTCACTGCTCTCCTCAGCTGGACAGGGGAGGGAGAATATAATGAAAAGCTCATGGGTTGAGATAACAAGGGGGAGGTTGGTCACCAATTGCCATCACAGGCAAAACAGACCTGACTTGGGGGGTACTTATTTGATTGCCAATTACTAGCAGAGTAGGATAGTGAGAAATAAACCCAAATATTGCAACAGCATCTCCCTACCTCTCCCTTCATCATGGGCTCAACTTTTCTCATTCATTCTCTACCTCCCCACCCTGAGCCACACAGGGGGATGTGGAAGGGGGCTGTGGTCAGTTCAACACACGTATCTTTGCTGCTCTTTCCTCCTCACAGGGAGGACTCCTCACACTTCCCCTGCTCCAGTGTGGGGTCCCTCCCACAGGAGACAGCTTTCAATGAACTTCTCCAACATGAGTTCTTTCCATGGGCTGTAGTTCCCCATGAGTTCTCCAGAGTGGCTGCAGCGCCTCAGGAACAGGCTGCTCCAGCATGGGTCCCTTGTGGGATCATAAGTTCTACCAGCAAACCGGCTCCAACATCAGCTTCCTATGGAGTCACAGCCTCCTTAGGCATCCACCTGCTCCAGTGTGGGGTCCTCCATGGGCTGCAGGTGGATCTCTGCTCCATCCTGGACCTCCATGGGCTGCTGGGGCACAGCTGCCTCACCATGGGCTGCTCCAGGGGCTGCAGGGGAACCTCTGCTCTGGCACTTGGAGCACCTCCTTCCCCTCCTTCTGCACTGACCTTGGTGTCTGCAGGGCTGCTCCCCTCTCATATCCTCAGCTCTTCACTCCTGCTGTAGTTGCTGTTGTGCACTTAAATACATAATTCCAAAGGCGCTACTGCTGTCACTGATTGACTCAGCCTTGGGTTGTTGAGTCAATGGACCAGTGGCATGTCCATCTTGAAGCTGGCTGGTGTTGGCTGTAGGATGTGGGAAAGCTTCTCTAGAAGTGTCTAAAAGAAGCCACCCCAGTGGACTAAACTGCTACCAAAACCTTGTGTGCAAACCCAATGCACTCAGTATAGGGATATTTTCTTTCTCTATATATGTATATAGCAATAATACACAATATCATATAGATTCTACTTATAATATATATCCAGGATTAAAAAAAGCAGCCTCAAAGGACCAAAGTGTTTTGAAAAAATAATTTAATTTCAGTTAAAATAGTGTTGTAGTGTTCAGCTGAAATGAAATTTATTTTATGAAATGAAATTTTTTTAATGTTATTTTCTTAGAACCATTAAGTGTGAAAATGTTCTCAGTAGTGTTACTGACTGAGCTTGGGGAATTTGAGGTTCAAAGAGAAAAATACAGACAGTTTCTTATATTGATATTGTAGGGTTCCATTAGTACTCCACAGAGTACTTTAAAAAGAATTGGGTTATTTTTGTAATGATAATATCCTTTGATGTTTAAAAGATAAAATTTTATACCAAATTCAGTCTTGAAATCTAGCATACAATAAATAGGTGTTTAAATGCAAAAGCCTTTCAGGATTTACAGAGGGTACTGTGTAGAGGCCTCTCATAATTTCTTGTCAGCATTTGCCAAAGTTTGCCATAGTTTTTCTGGGGTAAAAAATAAGAAGAAAAGAGGAATGAGATCAAATTCATGTTTTCACTGCTTTTTATTTGTAGAGACACACGGGTAAATGAAATGTGCTACAATTTGACCCTAAGGTGCCTAATTATGCTGTAAAATAACCACAAACTGATCCCTCATTATGACAGTCAAAATGGCAAACAGCATTGCTAGCTTTATTTTAGTTGAAACTCCCATGAAGCCCTTGAAAGAGCTTACTCAATTCTAATATTTGTGATCAGAATGAAAATGTAGATTATTTTATGTATTTCATCGCCTCACTGTGCACAATTAAACAATTCTTCCAGAGGACAGCAGCACATTTCCTTTCTCTGCTGGAGTTCTTAGAACAAAAGTGAAGGCTTCAGTCAGGTGATACAGGAATTTAGATAATTCAGTAAATTGCAGGTCTTGTGAGCTGGTGAAATCCTGTGCTTTGGCACGACACTTTGTCTAAGTCTCTACCTTGGAGACTTTGTAGTTGTCATGAGTGAGGGTCTGGCACCTTTCTCACAAGCTCACATGATGTTGCTGAGCTGTGTACAGAGGAGAAGAGGAGCAGTCTGTGCTTGTGTATGGAGACAGAGAATGAAGAAAAGCAAACATAAGAGACTTAGGGGAAAATGTAGTGCAAGGAATTAATTAAACCTTTCTTGTAATAATAGCAGTATTGGTTCATAGGACTGTGGATTATAGGACTGTGGGGAAGGTCAAAGATCCTGTAATTCAACAGTGTGCTCTGAGACAGCATCAAACCTTCCATAGCCTGCATTTGATGTGGTCATATAAGGGTTCAGGAAGACTTACCTATAAACACAGCCAGAGTTCATAGACAGAAATGAATGCCTAAATAAGAGGTTTTGAAATTAAGTAAATTCTAGTGATAAATGGAAATGTTTGGGAAAAAAATCAGAAGGTTGGTGAGAAGAACTGTAAAAACGGTCAAGTGATGTGCAGTTGAGGTGTCAAAACCCACATATATCATACTATTAATTTTTTTGTACCTCTGTGTTGGACAAGTCAAACATCTGTGTTTAGATAACATAGGCCTGTGACAAAGGCACAGTATCAAACATGGCTGAGATCCCTGCCCTGCTGCAGCAAAGACCAAAGCAGAGTGGTAAATTACAACAGTGCAAACCCCTACAATACGGGGGACTGGGTGATCCTCTGGCATGGATTCAGCTCTGCAGTGTCTGCATCCCCACTGGTATGTCTCTGACCAGGTGCTGCTTCAGGGCTCCCTTGCTTGACCAGATAATGAGGATAAATTTATTATTGCATTTCATCTGTGGTTTTGTGGTTGTTCCTGCATCCTACCTGTGTCAGCTCAAACAAGAAGCACAACCAAGAATTGTTGTTATAAATAATCACAATACCACTTGTGCTGGTTCCAGTTGTTCTTCTACCTTTCTGTTGCGTAGCTGAGCTGCTTGTTGGTATATCTCGAAACCATCACTCTTTGAGGAAAACTGAAAATTGTGGCTATGTACTGTACAACATTGCTCTGTAAATAACAGCAGTGCTTTAGGAGCTGATTGGAAAGCAGCTTAAACATCCATGCCATGAACTGGACTGTAGAAGAAAAGAATCTCACCTTGGCATTATCATGAAATATGTGGGCTTAGAATCACAGAATCATTAAAGTTAGAAAAGACACTTAAGTTCACTAAGTCCAACCATTAACTTAAGTGCCAAGTGGACCAGGAAGATATAGGCTAAGATGAACTCGTTTATTTGAAAGGTTTTTCTGTCTATTATACCAGGAAAACAATATAATAAATGTGTTAATGAACATGAAATGTTAGGGTACTCTGTTAAGTGCTAAGGATTACCTTATGTATACGTATGAGTGTTTTTATTTTAATACTAATTTCTGTTCACAAGTCTGATTGTTGTTGTTATTTCAACAGCATCTGTTACAATACTGTACTTGAAATATAGCAAAGTATTTATGCAGCAAAGAGTAAGAGGAAGGTCTGGATTTCAAAGAAAATGGTATAAATAAAAGGAAAAAGTCAGCAGTAATAAACCTTTCACATTTGATCTGCTACCAGAGTAGCTCTTGCAGCAACAAAATGTTCAGCAAAGATAATGAGGTTACACAGAAAGCCTTTTGGATGTCTAGAAGCTAAATCTAGATCTCTGGAGCTTTAGTCTGGTGGTTTTTTGTTGGAATATTATTTATCTGTGTCAAATCCTTGTGTATCAAAGCAACTTGAAAAACCTTCAGTTAAGTGAGAATACATGTTTTCCTGCAGGCATCTTAGGAGATAGATGGTAACACTCCTAAGCACAACAAAAAAGGATGTAATTCCAGCCTTTCAACCCTGGGAATGTCCAACTGGCTCATTCTGTGTAGAAAAGCTTCTGTTTCCAGATTTAAATTTAGTAATGGATATCACCTGATGAAATAAAAACGTAATCTCAGGAGTTTTTGTTTATTCTTGCAACGTCTGTATTGCAAAGTAAAATTGTGTGGCATATATTTCTCTAGAACCACTTAAATATGCTCTCACTGATTTCATGGAGCTATCCCAATTTCTTCCAACAGATATTCTGGCCTGAAATAGCTGCTGAAGTGTTGGGACAGATGTAGGAAGAAAAGCATTTAGAGCAGAAGGAAGAGGATAGAATAGAAGTTGATATTGTGATTATAAAGCACAAAACGTGCACAAAAAAAATTACAGAAATAGGTTATAAAAATCTTTTTCTGTAGTGGCTGGCTCGTAGTAAAGATCAGAATAGATTTATTGCCTGCCTTAGTGGAGAGATGTATATCAGAATTTGTAGCCTGCTGTGAACTCACATATCTCATATCTTCATAGGTCTGAACTTCATCTCTCACACTGGGACCACCTTTGCCTCGATCCTTTGCAAACTGTTTGTCTTGGGGTTTTTTACCAGAAAGTAGAGATAAATGTTTACTTTTGTGATAAACAGGCATGAAACTGTTCATTCTTTTCAATGTATTGAAGATGAATAATTGTTTTCATAAGGCTTTCATACATTTTGTTTATAAAAAGTTTGAAGTGAGTGTGTGCAAGAAGAGCATGAAATAACAACTTCATTAATATGCCTGTAATGTGTGCTCTGTGCTTTATAGTGTGCTAAAGCAGGGTTATTAAAATGCTATGTGAAGACCTACCCTGGTGCTTTTCTAGGGAAGGCTGATTTGCATTAAGTGGTGCAGGTATCAGCTTCCTTTATCTTTGGTGCTGAAGCTATGGGAGACTTGGTGTCCCAGCACATCCTGTTGCATTTTGGTTTGAGGGAAAGTTCAAACAAAGTTTAGAGGAGGATCAAAACTCTGCTTGCTTATCTGACTCCAGCTGATCTCATCCTTTTGAAGTGCATCTAAAATTCATGTCTGTCCTTTACTGAATTCTCTTCTAAAATATGCAGCTGGGGGAATGAGTAGGTTTGACTATCAATGCCTCTTATCAGGGTTTTGCCTGTAAACTGGCAACACTGAAAAACTGATCAGACACTTGAAGCCCTAGGATTCCCATAAAATATGTTCTTACTAGATCAGAGGAAGACTGAGTTCTCAACCCAAATTAAATGCTTCCTATTTTTGAAGTAATTGTGAGTGTGCTGTAAGATATTTTCACCCCAGCTCCAGCTCAGTCTTTCTGAGAAATACTCTAAATGTAGCATTTCATTTTGCCAAAAGAAGAAAATAATTTAGTATTGTCAGTATTTTTTCATTTACAAGGCAAAGTAAAGCTAACCTTTATTGTTTTCACCTTTGCTTTGTCAAAGCATACGGAAGACTGCATGAAGGCTAAGTGTGTATAATTCTCACATATCACTTGGTTTTGTGTTTAATGAAGTACAGAGGTTAATAACAAAAGTAAATACTGTCTTAAAAAGATTTTAGATGGAAAACAGGAAAGGTGCTTTTATTTTAGCACTGCTGATAACCTCTAGAAAAGGAATTAAAATAATTTATGATGTTTTTAATCCTTTACACCATTAAATAAATATTATATGTATCTTGGTTCCAAACTCACAGTGGTCTCCATGGGACATCACATAATATTTGAAATTAAACTCACTGACACTGGAAATGCAGAAAACATGCTTGCACCAATTATTTCACATTCTGTAGGTTCTGGGGAATATGTGAGATAGTCACTGACAGCAGTACTTTTCCTTTTTTTCTTAGAATTAGACTACAAAGCATTTTATTCTGCAGGATACACAGACTATGGCAAACACTGAAGTAAGGTGATGGGTCACTTGGTGATATATAACAGGAAGGAATGCAGAATGCATACTATGGGAAATATAAGCTTGGGCTAAAATCACTTTAGGCAGTTTAATCTGACTGTGATTTGAACCTGAACATTTTCTGATTCACCTGCTTAGCTTTCTTTTCTTTTATAGCTGGGAGAAATATAAGACTTAACCTGACTTTTATGTTCTTTCCAGTTTGAAGTGTGGACATTATAAAACATAAGTCCCTTAATTCTTGTTTGCTTGTTCATTTTATTTCAGCTGTTTTGTACATTTGCTTAGCTGGCCTTTCTTTGTCTGACTTGTAGGTCTTTGAAGAAGAGCACCACATCTTGTACTTGGACCATGGTGGAGTTATTGTGGCTATCAAAGACACCTCTATCCCTCTGAAAATACTCAAGTAATTCTCCAGTCAATTAGAGTAGAGCTGTTGTGTACTCAGGACCTCAGGCAAAGTTCAGAGTTTAAGATAAGCATTTCATTGTGATCATGTACGAAGCACAGGTGGAGTCAACTTAATTTAACATTCATTGAGTCAACAAAAATGCAGTTGGATGTTTACTTAAGATTACTTCATGCTGCTGAAGACCATGGCATCATGCATAATAAAATTTTCTTGCATAAGTGTAGGCATTTTTTGCTTAAAAGATGTTCTGGAACTCTGCAGTAGAAGCCATGTTCAGAATAATTGTTTATCTGCTACTGGTAGCACCAGCAGTACATGTCAGGGGCGCTCAGCCTGTGCTGCATATGTGGCTTAGGCGTGCAGTCAGGAGAGTTCATTGATACTGTAAAGTCTCTGTCCCCTCGAAGGGCCATAGGGAACTTGGAGAATAGCCCTGAGTTTCTCTGGCAAGAGCAATTTAATGCAGAGCTTGGGAGCCAACAGGTGAAGGACTTAGTTGTGCTTGTGTGCTGTGTAATTTGGTGTGGCAGAATCACAGCTCATCTGAGATATTCATGCAAAAATAACTGCAGTGTGCATAGATCTTCTCATAGGTGACAGTGCAGAAAATGGCCTTCTCAGCCTGTTTGGCAGGAAAGGTTTGTTGCAAAGCAATTTGGTATAAAATATCAAGTTTTAGACTGTATGATAGTGCAGCAAAACATGGTAACCTTGTGTAATGGTTACACAAGGTTACACACAGAACTATAATTTTCAGCATAAAAATACATCCTTAAAAAAGACATTAAAAAGCATAAAAAGACATCTTTATCACTTGTGAATTGGCTTATTTTTGCAGAACTGTGTTATATACATGAATAGGAACTAGGCTCCGTACCTGGCTATCTGGACTGAAAGCCATCATTAACCTGTCCAAAAGACCTGAAGGAAATGTACAGAAAAAAAGACTTTGACTTATAAGTTTTGGCATGCACATTTGAAATATGTTTTGAAATATGTTTTGCCGATTCGTTAGTATCTTTTTCAAATGTTTAAGTGGATGGCCATGTTTAAGTGGATGGCAATGTTTAAGTAGCAGCCATGAAGGGCCACCCTCATACTGGTTCCTGGAGTTAGTGCACTTCCCATGTTTTAGCAGTTGGCCTCTCATGTTTCACTGGCCTCTGCTTAACAGGTCTATGGCTCAGAGACTAGAAAGAATGAAATGTGAATTAATTTGCTTTTGAATCTTCAAGGTAGCAAGATAATTTGTTGACAGAGCTCAGTTTTTAATCAACCTGAGGAATTTTATTTTTGTGGAAAATTTATTACACCTTCTCATAAAAATGTGAATCCCTGGATAAGTTGCAGAGGAGATCACATTAATATCATGCACTGTCTAGGCACACTCTATTTTATGATTGAAAATCCTGAGCTTTAGTAGTGAGGGGATTTTTGAAGTGCATTCTGCTTTGTATACCAATAGTTGTAAATGAAAATGTTTTCTGCTTTTTTACAGATTCAGCATAGATGAAGGGCAGACCTGGAGCACACATAATTTCACCAGCACTTCTGTCTTTGTAGATGGACTGCTTAGTGAACCTGGAGATGAGACACTGGTCATGACGTAAGGTTTTGGTTTCACCTCTGTTTTCAGGGCTCTCTCTGTGCATGCATTTGCATAGATTTTCAGCTGTACATGTTTGAGATGGTCCTTGAGTCAGTGGCTTTTGCTTCCCACAGTCACACAGACACTTACAGTAATGTCTGAACCTTCCTGGTATGTAACCTGTCTTTGAAATCATCTGACTGCAGTATTTCAGATGTTAAAGATTATGTTCAAATGAAATCTTGCAAAGTTACCACTGGGGAGAGAGGAATACTAGGACTGCTTTACAAATCTGAAAGATGCAGGGGAAAAAATAACTATTTCCTCTTGGGGTTTTTTTTTGTTTGTTTGGGGTTTTTTTTGGGTTTTTTTGGTTTTTTTTTTTCCTACAGATTTTTAGTCAGACATCAAAAATGTTAAACATCTATTGTCTTCACTGTGTAAATAACTATAGTGTTGTCTTAGTAAATAGCACTGCGGTACTTGATGTAAGCAAGCACTGTGCTATCAAATATTTGTTTTATTCTGTGCAGTGACAGAGGCAGATGCTGTGAATAGAGTTAAAAATAACAAAATTCTGCAGCTCAGAATTGTTTATCCTGTTTATCTGTCTTTTTCCAAAGGATCAGGGACATCTGGATCTGAGCTGCACATTTTGCTCCATCTCTAAGATAAAAGCTAGTATTTTAGAAGTGTCTGAGAGTAAAAAACACCTGTCCAGTAAGGGAGAAAGGCACATGCTGCCTGCAGCCAGAGAGGGGAGTGCACCGAGGGCAATGCACACAGGTTGTTGTGTGTGCTCCTATTGCAACAGTTTGGGTGATTCTTTATATGGAGCTCAGTGTGCTCGTGACAGGCTTTTTCTCCCAGGAGTTACAAACAGAGCTGCCTTTGACATGTATCAGTAGCATATTCCCCAGGGAAAAATAAATTAATAGCCCAGTGTATAAAGGACCCTCAGCAAAGCAGAAATCCTACCCAATGTAGTTCAAAGGGCTGTGCCAAGTTCATAGCGCTGTGCAGAGGTGGGATTTGGTCTGTTGCTTGTTTCTCTCTTTCTTCACTGCCCCATTTATCCTCCATTATACATCTACAGCCTGAGAAGAACAGTATTATCCCATCATCTTTCTCTTCTCTCAAATACAGGTTTATTTATGATATAATATATGCCACATGGAGACACTTATGCCTCTGAATGAGGGATTTCCATTGATTTCAGTAAAAGTAGATAGATCAAAAGCTTATCCCAAACTGTACTTACTGGCGGATAAAATGATGTGTGGTGACTGTATGCTCTGGGCTTGGGTTTTTTTCCTTATTTAGTATCATTAAAAACTCATTCTGTGAAGATGTGCTTAAATATCTGGCTGAATGGGCTAAAGAGCTCTTGTAAAACATGATGCCTTTCTAAAATCATTTATCTATCTAAAATACATGGAGCTGCCGCTAGATTTGGTACGAGCCCAAATTGACAACAAAAGCATCATGTCACTTGTATATTTCTAAAGTCACAGCAAGAGTCTGACTAGTGTGTGAAGCCAGGCTTGTAGAATCTCACTTTTTAGCTAGTTTTACTGAGCATGGAGGGCCTCAAACCTTTAATAGCACAGACTGGCCCTGAAGATATGTGCAAATTTCCTACCAGATTCTAAAGACAATGAGAAGAATAAACCTGCAGTATGTGTTTCATTGTTGCCATTGTATCAACTTCCTTGTCTCTCCCACTGCTTTTGACTGTTTTACCTTCAGGGTGATGTTGTCAGCTCAGTGGTGCTCTGTCTGACTTTGTGTCAAGACCTTTTGTCATTCTGTCTGGCTTAGTTAATTTTTTCCTGAAAACTTATTCTCGTACTAAGTTATGGTGCTTGACTTAATCTACAGTGATTTGTTGCTTTTGAGAAATACACATTCCCTGGAAAAAAACCCCAAAATCAACTATGCCATCTTTTCATTTTGTTAGATAGAATTTTCTTCCAAGTAGAACATGGTAATATGAACTTGTGAATGGTAATGGAAATAAATTGTGTCTTTCACCTTAAAGAATCCCCAAATCCACTGCCAAGGACCTAGTTTGATTTATTTTCCTAGTACAAGAATTTGATTTTCTCCCTTTGGTATGGAATGTGTTTGAATAAGGATTTTGAATAAAGAGTATGATGTCAAAATCTGCATAAATTAGGAGCAATAGCATAATTCTGAAGTGGAAAGGTAATAACTGAAAAAATGTGTAGCAAAATTAAGGAATAGACAGTATTTCATTTAAAGCTTCTAGAATAAACTCACAAGAGAGTCAAAGAATATTTTACGTGTCCTGAAATTGACTGTTAAGGTAAAATCCTGGTTCCACTGAAGTCAGTCTGTGCATAAGAGATTTCTCATTCTCCAGCATCGTGTCTAGGATATTGACTGGACTTGTAAGTGGCTTCCATTTGAATTCCAGTTCTGTCCTAATTTATCCAGAATCATAAATGGTTTGGGTTGGAAAGGACCTTTGAAACCATTTAGTTCCACCCCTCCTCTCATGGGCAGGGACACCTACTAGAATAACTTGCTCAAAGCCCCATCCAGCCTGGCCTTGCAAACTTCCAGGAATGGAGTATCCACAGCTTCCCTGGACATGGTCCAACACCTCCACATCCTTCTTGTGTTGGGGACCCCAGAGCTGGATGCAGCACTATGGGTGGGCTCTCATGAGAGTGGACAGAGTGGCAGAATCCTCTCTCTTGCCCTGAGGCCCACAGTGCTTTGGGTGAAGCCCAGGATCAAATTTGGCTTTCTGGGCTGTGAGCACACGCTGCTGGCTCATGTTGAACTTCTTGTCAATCAACAGCCCCCACTCCTTCTCATCAGGGCTGTTTTTAACTCATTCTTCCACCCAGCCTGTGTTTGTGCTTGGGATTGACCCAAACCAGGTGCAGGACCTTGAATTTGGCCTTGTTGAACTTCATGAAGTTCACACAGGCCCACCTCTCAAGCCTTCAAGGTCCCTCTGGATGGCATCCCTTCCCTCCAGTGTGCCAGCCACACCACACAGTTTGGTGTCACTGACAAACTTGCTGAGGGAGCACTTGATCGCACTGTCCATGTTCCAGCAAAGGTGTTAAACAGCACTAGTCCCAATACTGATCCCTCAGGAGTGTCACTCATGACTGTTTTCCATTCCAAAGTGAAGTGGTCTAGTAAGCTTTACTGCAGAAACAGGAAAACATGAACCTGGTTGTCTCAAGTCTTCATTTCAGAAAGTTTTGTGTTATCTCCAAAACAGAGAGGAAAGCCAAACGTTGACTTGTCAAAAGTTTTCATAAAACTCAGTTGTCATCTGTCAGTCAACATTAATCTAAATCATTCATCTAAATCCCCTGCAGTATTCAAGATACGTACATACAAATGCTAAGGATGTGCTCTACAAAAGATCTAGTTAAGATTTTTAGGTGTTTTAGTGGTAAAGTATTCAAAACCTTTAGGAAACTAATTCTGTTTTCAATCTGTCTAGATTTCCATTTCTAAAGAGACCTAGTTAGGAGTTTAGGAAAGATAAGCAATAAAGTATTCATAAATTTTAGGAAACTTGATCTGTGTAAAAATCAACTTCTAAATGAGGAGCTCAAATCCAGTATTTATTGCTAAATGAATAAGTAAGGTTTGCTAAGAAATTTTCTCAACTAGTATGTTTTTATCAAAATAGTGCATGGACTAGTAGGTTTTACTTTGTTCTAAATTTGTGACAACGAAAGTTACTGCAACCCCATTGAACAATACTGAGCAATATTTTATAGTTGGGAAAAATTGCTTGCTAATACTGGATTGAGTAATGGCCTAACTCTGTACAAAAGGAAGAATTTTTTTTTGTCTGAAATATTGATGTTCCTCTCCAGAGGAAATAGTTAATGTAATGAAAGTTTCAAACCTGTTGAAAATGCTTCTAAATCACATCTCAGCTTCTGGGAGTGTTTCCCAAACCAGGTTATTTAGATTGCAGTGTAACCCCAGTAGGCACAATAACCATGGTACCACAGACCATAGCCCCCTTTAAAAGGCCAATAAGAGGTTACATAAAAGAACTGCTTTTCTTTATGTCAGGTAGAATCAAAATCTTCCTTGTGGGTAATTGTATTTTTTCCACAAGGCTATTTTTTTTTGTATTGTCTCATAGAATAACAACTTTGGATGCTGCTGGGAACTTTATTACATCTCTGAACTCCTGCATACATATTTTGCTGTCCTGAATGCCCGTTGTGCTCCTTTTGGGTTCCTGGGTGATCATGGAAACAGGGAGATAGCCTAATTTTAACTTAATCAAAACCAGGTTAATATCAATAGGTGTTAGATATTTTGTAGAGCCGTCTGGGTTTTTTTAACTTTTGATTCTGCTAGGAATGTCAACCTCACCATTAACAACATCAACAGCAGTCAACATTACATGTACTTTGTGGAGCATATTATCACACATGGCAGGATGTTCCTTTTCCTGTTCTCTTTGAGTATCTTACTAGGTGAAGGTACTTCTCTGTGTTTTGAATTCTTTTCTATTGACTTCCTCACACTGCAACACTTATAAAAGGTAGATAAAAGGTAGATAAAGCCTCATTATGATGGAAAATAGCTGATTTCTGAAGGCAAATTCTAGGCTTTGTTTTCAGCTGGTTAATGTCTTGAATGAAAATCATTGCTCAGTTAGGAAATGGTCGTTCTGCTCTCTGCATAAGAAGGAACATACCTGAGAGTAGATAGAGGAAACATGGTGAAAAAAGCATTGGAAAAGCAAACTGCTTCTTCTATTCCAATCTAATCTAGATATCAGCTAATGCAGATGTACAGATCTCTCTTTAACAGCAAGCCTAATGCTTTTGCTGTCACCTCTGTGGACACAGATGTTAGCAGAGCAAGTCAAAGTGTTTCAGTGTCACTGCCAACTTGTGACCTTGGAGTCAAGACCTGGTACTGCCCCAGTCTCTCCCTCTGCTCAAATAAAATTTAGCGGGTAAAGTTTGTTTTTTCAATTTCTTTCCTTGCAGTTT